ATTCTTACCCGGAAAGTAGAACGTCTGGTAGATATTTGCATCTATCTTAGCCTTTTCAGCAGATGCAAGAAACTACATCCCCATTTTACTAAATTAAATCTGCCTCTGAAACGCATACTAATCCCGCAGTTTTCCTGGTCTAGAACAGTCAATATGTTTCGGTTCGGTTCAACATATGTTCCATTGCTTGACTTCACTACTTCGTAAGCACTCTATCTTGCTTACCGTAAGATTCCCTTATGATGCTTATGTATAGGGATTTCTGGTTTACTGACCCTATAGGCTTGACGCAGCATGATGAAATTTGGGGTGCAATTACCCAAGATATTCAAATCCATCGGCAGGATATTGAATCTCTCAAGCTACAAAGCATACTTCTCGATGACAGCACCTCCATACTGACTAACACGCTGATATGTGGTACAGGCTGGAGATCCAACTACCCATTTTTCTCCCCCTCACTAACCGAATCACTTGGGCTTCCGCACCCTGTCTCTGAATCTCCATCTTCAGATTCAGAAAATCAGTGTTAGGGAGACCTCATCTCCCATGCCGATCACGTCGTCCACTGCCGCTTCCCACAACTCACATATCCCCCTCCGCACCAAAAACGACTCTCCACTCCAACCACGACCGCTAAACTTTACAACGGCATAGCTCTTCTTGATCCCAATCACGCAGGCTCCATCGATTTCCTCGGCCAAATCAACATATGAAACTCACTTCGAGCCGCCGAAGCGCAAGCCATTTGGAGCACGGCGTATCCATGCGGACACCTGGCACTCTCTACACTTGCAGAAATGCAACAGCGTGTCGCATATACGAATGGGTTTTCGCGCCTTCGGTATCCATCGCATGGTCAGAAGGGCGGTTGCATTTCCATAGACTGATATGGTATGCGGATTATCTGCTTACAGAGATGGGACTAAAATTGCACCGCGCGAGCTGGTGGACGTGGGTATATTGAGTGGACCCGTGTCTTGCGCAGGATTTTGCGGGGGGGAGAAAGAATGCAGAAGGAAGTTTGGAGTGTGAAAAGAAAATTTATGTATATTGACATGTATGTTTTGTTGAAACAGGTCTTGTAATGGTATCTTATATCAAGTTGCGAGACAGGTGTTCTCGCTGTAATGTCTTCTAAGATTTACATCTTGCAACTTACATTTTGCATTCCTGGAGATCAGATATCCCTTAGACCATCAACTTAGGACTCCTTTATAGTCCGTATGTTAAATAAGAATATCAATAACCTTATAAATAATATTATAAATAAAAATGCTTATATTTAAAATTAAAGATTCAAATTTCTTAAATAAATGATAATAAATATATAAAGTTTATTCCTATATATTTTTAATTAAAAAAATTGATTAACAACTTTTATAAATATTAATATTATTATATTTTATTTTTCAAAAGAAAAGAATTTTCTATACGATTTATAAATAATTTACAATAATAATAAGATATTAAATCAAAAATTCAATATTTATTCAAAAAATAAAGATGTATATAAGATTATATAGAAATATAATGAATGTATTATTTATTTTTATTACAATAATAAGTGATTGATATTTATTATAAAAAAACGTTTCAAAATAATGAGATCTTTCTAAATCCTGATGATTTGATTGATTAGTATGACCCCGTATACGCGAGGAGTCCTAAGTTGGCGGTCTAGGGGCTATCGTGATCTTGAGTCTCTATTTCTCTGAATAGGGATCCCACAATTGCTAACTAGGTATGTAGATGGTTTAATGCTTACATTTAGAATGGAATAATGCACGCAAAGGTTAGGTTTAGTCGAGAAAACACCAACCCGTGTTTTGCTTGACGGGAGTGAAGAAAATGGTAAGTAGTATCGATATATGGAATGTTTAGACGGGAATTAGGAAGAATGATGGCAATAATGACATCAAGATCTTGAAATAAGAATTCGAGGCTTGAAGGCTTGGGTCTTGGGTGAAGTTGTCTTTTGACATTTCAATGTTGTGGCGTAAGCGGAGGCGGAGGCGGAGGCAGATGTGCGTTTGGAAAGGGGTGGCGAGTTTCTAGATTTTGTAGATTAAGAGTGTGTGGGATTGTGATATGATATCGGATGGAAATCTTCAAATATGTCCGTTCCGTGTACGAAGTATACAGACGGAGCTAATGTTCAAATATGTGTAAATCGGCTTTTTGTTAAGAGTCCGACATACGCATACTAGATAATTAGTGAGCTAGCAGTATATATCAGTAGGGATATTTGACAACCAATGCCCCCCTCCCCCCCTTTCAAGTAGGTAAACTAGGTAGTGCAAGATGGCTTAGATAGTGATCATCCCGTGCGAAATACACAATCATTTTGGAATCTTCAGCTATTTTTTTATATCATACTCACCGTTCTAATCCCATCTAGTCTGTCTGGACTACAGTAATCCCATCTAGTCTGTCTGGACTACAGTAAAACCTTTACTGTTATCATTCTCATTCTACCTACTTCATTCATACGTCTAATCCTTTGCAACACTTAACACTTTACGAGTAATTTGATCTACTTTGGTTTCTTGGCATAATTTGAGGTTACTGTCACAAGATTATCTTCAAGTACTGGTCGGTCGATACCTAAGGTGCATGTATGTATACGAAATACGATAGATATTCTTTGTCCACCAGTGGTCCCACCAAATCAGTTCTTATCCCTATCTTTGTGCATACACCGGTGGATGCATTAATTTCCCCTTTCACTTCCAGCTCTACTTTTTACCATTAGTGAAATTTATTAATTAATTTCTACCATATTTATTTATTTAACCAAAAACACCTTACCTTCTTGATAAATTTGGAAAACAGTCTGGTCCTGTCCTTTTTAAATCCTACGACCAACCCAATATTACCTACATCCATACCAACACTCCTTTAACAGATGCCGTAGCTGATTTTGGAAATTCCTCGATTCTTACTCTCCTAGAGTATCCTACAATTTCTCTAATCGACCCCTCCGTTATCTCGAGACCCTTACCTACGACCCCTTATCGAACAACTTTCATCACAACCCTCACTCGTTATAACTACGACACAATCGAAAAATTGAAGCCCGTGAGGAAAAAGCTTTTGATATCCTCGATTCTTTGCCCAACCTTACCATGAGGCGTGGTACTCTTCTATTCCTGGTCATCAATTTTATAGTAATTGGTTTCCTTGTAAATGCCTTCAGCACCCTCATATCACTACTCTTCATAGATGGAGCTGCAGATGCTATTCACCGCTCCGAAATACCTGCGCCAGGTTCCGAATTGATCGAGAATCGCACACAGCTTATTCCGAAGATCATTCATCAGACATACATCAATGAGTCGATTCCCGAGCGATGGAAGGCGGGACAACAATCGTGTATTGAATTGCATGATGATTATGAATATAAGGTATGTTCACTTTAGTCGACGGGGAAATGAGAACGGGAATGATATGCTAACTTATTACAGTTATGGACAGATGAAGCCTCAAGAGCTTTTATTGCAACGGAATATCCTTGGTTCCTCGATACATTCGACAGCTACCCCTTCCCAATCCAACGCGCAGATTCTATCCGCTATTTCGTATTAGCACACTACGGAGGCATATACATCGATCTCGACGACGGCTGTAAACGACGTCTCGATCCCCTCCTCAGCTATCCCGCCTGGTTGCGTAGAACAATCCCCACCGGAATTAGTAACGATGCTATGGGATCCGTCCCCCAACACCCCTTCTTCCTCCGCGTCATCGAATCTCTCCAAGCCTATAACAGAAACTGGGGCATGCCATATATCACCGTCATGTACAGCACCGGCCCGCTCTTCCTCTCCGTCCTCTGGATCGAATACATGCGAACTGTCACCGACGAAGCAGGCCGCGTGCGTAATCTCATGCCAGATGAATACAACAAACACGCATGGAGTTTCTTCAACATCGTCAAAGGCAATAGCTGGCATGGAAAAGACGCACAGACGATTTTCTGGATGGGCAAACATTGGTTCTTGCTTACGGTTGCGGGTTTTGCGATTGCGGGAGTTGTAGGTGGATTTCTGTGGTTGGCGTGGAATATGTGGGTGGTACGATCGGGTAAATCGTCGAGGAGGGGAATGGCTCTTTGGAGAAGAGTCAGTGGGAAGGATAGATATGAATTGTTGGATCGTTCAGTGTGATTACATACATTTATTGGGATTCGGATGGGACTATCAGGGTATATGTTAAAATGATATGATATTTGTAATTATGGGATGGGGTTTTCTGGGATAGACAAACGAGAAAGAGGTAGATTGTATAGGGATTTTAATGGATGAAATGAATTAACGGAGAATATTTTTACACACAAATCGTGTTTCTGGACTTTGCCAAATGAACACTATTATCCGATCTCAAAGGCGGATAGGTGTAAGAATTTGGCAGCTAGGTGATATCAGTGTTGGTCGATCGAGATGAGCTAGACATGGAGACAACGTTCACCGGGAGGAAGCTCAGGGAGGGTGAATCGAAGTCGACGCTCACTGGTGGCATATCCGGGTTTTGGCACTGTAATTCGATATATAAAGCTCAGGTGAAGACTCTCAAGTGAGAGATCTAGATGGGATGTTGGTAGTGGAGTATCCGAATAGCTCTTCGTTTAGTGTGAGGAAGAGGTGTGCTCTCAAATGTACACTGCACGCTCATTTGAGGGGATTGAGGGAGCTCCCCGGGTGTCATGTCGGAAGTCGTGTATGCGTGGGCTCATTGGGGCCGGGATGAAAGGACACGGGTGAATTTCTTGAGCTGGCTGAATAAGTTCCTACTGATTTATGAGGAGAGTTTGACGGATGATTAATTAATGGAATGCAAAACTGATTTTTGTGTTTCTATATCTATTTTCCTGGTGGTATATTCTTTGCCAAACGATTTTGATTTCAAGCCACGCCTTATCTTTCGAAGAAGTTTCAACACTGTATACAAGGACCTAAACACGGTAAACAGCCACCTACCCAATGCACAACTCCAATTTTCTACGAGAAATGAAACCATTTCTTCCATTTCCACACCAATCCCCAACCCCCAAACACAGACGACAACCCCGTGAAAATAATCAACGGCCCATAACTCGTCCCATAGCCAAAATGTCCCCAGCCTACTCCCACACTTCCCGCTTTCAACAACGGCACGCCCGCTAACCCACCACTCACATAACCAATTCCCCTCGCTCCATTCAAAAGCCCATAGAGCACACCGGTATCAATCGGTTCATTCCTCTCCGCGGCTTCGCGCTCCATTTCCTTCAGTATTCCGCCCCACGTCGCGCTGTACCCGCCGGCGAAAAAACCAAAGGTTAGAGAGAAGAGAACGAGTAGCGCCATGCTTCCTGGGGACGTCAAACCCCAGAATAGGAATGCGGAGAGCGCGGATGCGAGCGCGGAGATGGAGGTTACGGTTGTGGCGGAGAGGGGGAATCGTTTATTATCGCTTAGGTATCCGAAGCAAAAGGAGGATAGCACACCGGGGATGTTGAAGAGGGTGAGGAGGAGAGTTGCGGTGGTTTGGGAAAGCAGTGTTACGTCGTGAGCGTAGGTGTTCAGATATGTTTGCGGGATTCCGTAGCCGCTGCTTTGGAGAATGATGGCGATGGTGTAGATCCAGAAAGTTCGATGATGGAGAAATTCCCAGGGGATTTTCCGGGTTCGTTGATGCGGTGAGGACAGGTTGGAGGGATGGGTGGGAATTAGATAGATTGCGGGAATACTGGTTCCGATGAGAAGAGCAGCCCAGATGCGGAGCGTAGTGCGAAATCCATAGGTATCGAGTAATACGCGCAGGAGGAATGGACATGCGGAACCGACGATGTTTTTGCAGGAGAGCACGATGCCATATGCAACGGCGCGATTGTGGGTAGAATACCATTCTCCGAGGGATAGGGTGGTGGGACTGTAGATTAGAGCGCAGCCGAATGAAGAGAGGATGCCTTGGGTGACTACTAAATGCCAGACGTGTGTACTCCATGCGGAAAGCACGAAGCTGAGACAGGCGAGGAGGGCGCCGGCTAGAGCGGCGGTTTGTCGATAGCGGGCCCAGCGCTTGGTGAACAGGAGGAAAAGCAAAGGCATAGAGAGGTACATGACGCCGTTGGAGGTGGTGCCGATGATACCGGTTATGGCGAGGTTTCCTCGCAGCGTCCAGTTTGTGGAGTAGTATTCTTGGAGGACTCCGTAGTTCATGGCGAAGCCTGGGAGTGTTAGAAGATGGGGTTGAGGGTTGAGGGAGACGGAGACTTGCCCCATATGGGTAGTTGTAAGATTGCAGAACCGATCAGGACAGATGCCCGTTTGTGGTTTGATTCTATTTGTCGGGGGTCGATATCGGAGTGGGTGGTATCGAGAGTAAATGATTCTCGATCATGTGTAATGTATTCTTGTGAGGTAGCTATACCTCGAGATGCAGTTGCACCCAGAGAATTGTCATCACGTTCCATCTTTAGCAGAGGGGTTTTCTAATGATTTGTATATATATCGATCTTTCATACAATGATGATATTTCTAACTTCATGTTTGAATAGTGCTGCCGTCCGATAAGCGGGGTGCACGATGCGCATGTCACGGGATTACTGTTGAGATCCTTGACTTCCCACGCCGTTGAGTATTTCGAGAAATTAACAGCAGAATCGCTATTGTGATCATTGCCCGTTAATTGAAATATAAGTCTTGGAGCCAGAAGACCTGTTTCATATCTGAATGTTCGATAATTTACGGCCGCTCTAACCGTCGATTTGCTAAAGATTCAATCCAAAGAATGTATTATTACCCTGTGGTGGCAAAGTTTATACCTAGGTACGAAAAGAAATTCAATGTAAATCTCTATACAACGTAAATCATTATATTAATATTTTCTTTTTCATTAATGAAGCATTTACTTTAACAGCGACGAATATTTCCAGTTCAAAATGAGAACCGTTTATTATTGAATTTTAATATAAATAAAGAGAATGAGAGTCCTAAAAGGTTTTAGGGAAAGGTGGATGAAAGGGTGTGAGTATAAGAGTTAAGAGGGAAGGAGTGAGTGTAGGAGCTAAAGGAGGAGAGGAGCGAGCATAGAAGCTAAAGGCATTAGCCGAAAGTTTAAAGGGGAGGAGGTTTTCATCTCTTGTTATTCACTTTCGATTTGTTCTTTAATCAGAAGCTTTATCATTATAGTATAAAGTACAGAATATACTATTTAAACAAGAATACTTGTCAACTCTAATTTATATAGTCATATTCTTTAATTATTAATCGAATTTTATATAAGTAAACTTTATATTTGAAAGTAAATATTTCGGAGCGCCTAATATTTTCTAATATTTTCATTATTATTTTTATTATTCTTATTTATTTATTCTATTATTGTATGTAAGAAATAATCGAAATAATCGAAATAGAGTTAGGTACTCACTTTGAGTCTTCGAAATCTCATATATTTCGATAACCGAGAGTATCAAAAGTTTTATTGTATATTTCTATTCGATTTGAATTTGCTTGAACAAATTCAAGTGCAGTTTCGATTGTACAAATCGAAGAAGAAGTAGTTCAATAGCTATCTACAAATCTGAACTTGAAGTCCGCTTCGAGTTATTAGACTTAGAACTCGAAGTGAATATGATGGATGTGCTTGTGCTATATCAGCATGACCTTCCAACTATGGACATTGCATGGTTGTACAAACTCGAGCCTTCAAGTTTGAACTCAAGAAGAAGGAGCAAATCTCATTGTGAAAGACGGCGTGGTGGGCCGAAAGAAAAAGATGATAGCATGAACGTGATAAGCAGTGGCTCATCTGAAGGATGAGGTTAAGGTCAATGCTACTTAACAGATCGGACACGATTACAATCAATGATCTCAAAATTGCTGTTACATGGTCTCATGTAGTCTGTTTACAAGCTTGCGATTGTCCATAATATTTGCATGAAGAATTGCGTTCCTTCAAAAGTTGTGGTAATGAATTAATCACGTGGCTTAAATATTCACGGTCGTGTAAATTGAAAATCGCGTCTCTCCAGTTTCGACGCGTCAACCTCACTCAACATTTGTCAAAAATCTCGACATGACGACCAGCAAAGCCCCAGAAGTCGGAGAGTCCTCTACTAGTGCTGCAAAGAAAGCACTGAAAGCCAACACTAATGGAGTTACGAATTATGAATTGCCCTGGTATGTTGTCTAGATTCTCCTGCAAGAATAGTAGGCTGATTAGAAGCAAACAGGGTTGAGAAATATCGACCGGTGTTCCTCGATGATGTAGTAGGAAATACGGAGACGATAGAACGACTAAAGATTATAGCGAAAGATGGAAATATGCCTCATGTCATTATTTCTGGCATGCCAGGTATTGGAAAGACAACGAGTGTGCTGTGTCTGGCTAGGCAACTGTTAGGAGAGTCATACAAGGAGGCAGTATTAGAATTGAACGCCAGTGACGAAAGAGGTATGTCGTCTTCAGCGGATTCATAGGTCAGTTATGCTGATACATAGACGGCCAGGTATCGATGTTGTGCGCAACCGCATTAAGGGATTTGCGCAAAAGAAAGTCACACTCCCCGCCGGTCGCCATAAACTCGTTATTCTCGATGAAGCAGATAGTATGACATCTGGAGCTCAACAAGCCTTACGTCGCACGATGGAGATATACAGTTCGACTACAAGATTTGCCTTTGCATGCAATCAATCGAATAAGATTATCGAGCCTTTACAATCCAGATGCGCAATTTTACGATATGCAAGACTGACAGATCAGCAAGTGGTCAAACGATTGTTACAAATCATCGAGACAGAGAAGGTGGAATATAGTGATGATGGATTGGCTGCTCTGGTTTTCAGCGCAGAGGGAGACATGCGCCAGGCTATCAATAATTTGCAGTCAACTTTTGCTGGTTTTGGACTCGTCAACGGAGATAATGTCTTCAAGGTTGTGGATTCACCTCACCCTATCAAAGTACAAGCTATGATAAAGGCATGCTACGAGGGCAAAATTGATTCTGCATTGGAGACATTGAACGAGTTATGGGGCTTGGGATACTCAAGTCACGATATTATAAGCACTATGTTCAGGGTTACGAAGACGGTCAATACTTTGAGTGAGCATTCGAAATTGGAGTTTATCAAGGAGATTGGATTCACGCATATGAAAATTCTGGAAGGAGTTCAGACGCTACTTCAATTGAGTGGTTGTATTGCAAGGCTTTGCAAGTTGAATATGGATTCAAGACAATTCGTTGCCAAATAATGGGAAATATGAGAAAAAGCATTACTGGGAGTTTGGAGCTTTGTGATACAGCTGGCGTACATGATATTGGTTATGTACAAGAACCCTGAAAACTCCCTATGAGTACAATTTTACCTTGATTTATCTTGCTTTGAAGCGGATTGCTCATATTCTTCTTCAAACTGATTCCACACTGCTCGATCCCTGATCATACGTTTCTCCATTCGTACTTTTGCTTCATATTCTCTGATGCGTCGATCCGCTTCAAGAGAACCTCCCATGACCATAAAGCCCATCTGGATAAATCTATCCACACGATTATTAGTTAATTGTTCCCCAATATACTGCAATCTGACTCACACTTTGAATTGAATCGTCAATCCTTTGTATATCGGAGAAAGAGCATATCCAGCACCTCCCAATGCAGCTGCAAACAAGCCCCACTACAGCATCACAATCAATAGAAGTCCTGAAAAGCTGGTTACCACAAACGCATGAAGAGTCAATTACCTTTGCACCGCCAACTGCAGCACCCTTTCCAGCTTCCCAAGCTGCAACATTCGCTTCTTCGTTTCTTAATCCACCAGTTTGGTGCATTTTGAACCTTATGTTTGCATTTATCTTGCTGCAAAAAGAGGTTGAATCAGAATGATCATAGGATTTCAAATCCCGTGGGCTTTGATTGGAACGTCATTATTCATGGTCCCGCCTCGGTTCATTCTGACCAATACGACTAGTCCGACCGATATAATTTTTTGGAACCAGTATCTGTGGTAATAAAGTGTGATATAATACATAACCCCCTCATCACAAATTTTACTCAATATCTTATTAATCACAACAATGGCTCCAGTAAGATCAACGGCGCTTGCGCGCGATACAAATGAGACTAGTATTCAACTGGCAATCAACCTCGATGGAGGAGAGTTCCCAGCGGATACCGATAAGAAATTGCTGAGTGGTGAAGAGGGACATGCTTCCCAGGTATCAAAGTCACAACACATTGCTATCCATACTGGAATTGGGTTTTTGGATCATATGCTGCATGCTTTGGCAAAGCATGCTGGTTGGAGTTTAGCGATCAATTGCAAAGGAGATTTACACAGTATGTTTTTGTCCTCTCATCTATTCTTCTGCGGGATTCGTTTTTGGCCATGCAAATGCTAATTTAAATTTTAGTCGATGACCACCACACTGCTGAAGATGTCTGCATCGCGCTCGGCACATCATTTGCAAAAGCTCTTGGAACTCCTGTAGGCATTGCACGTTTTGGATCCGCATACTGCCCCCTCGATGAAGCACTTTCGCGAGCGGTTGTCGATATTTCAAACCGCCCATTTAGTGTGATAGATTTGGGACTCAAAAGAGAGAAGATTGGAGATTTGAGTTGTGAAATGATCCCACATTGTCTGCAGAGTTTTGCACAGGGCGCAAGAATCACATTACATGTGGATTGTTTGAGGGGTGATAACGATCACCACAGAGCGGAGAGTGCGTTCAAGGCATTGGCTGTGGCAGTTAGACAGGCTACTTCGATAGTAGCGGGCAGAGAGGATGAGGTTCCAAGTACAAAGGGTACTTTGAGCACTTGAGGGGAGATTGTAATGATATCAAAAGAAATATTTGGTGTGGAATTTTGGCTTGTCATGAATGGACATACTGGACTCAGATGTTGAATGGCTGCAAGAATGGCTAGGAGATTCCAAGTTAACTAGGAGGGTTAAAAAGATATACCAAGCCATTTATAGAAACCCGAATCTAGCATTAGAAGAAAAATTATATATATATTTGTATTCCGTATACTCAGCACCTGCATTCCCAATTCACCTCCAGACTCCTAAAGTAAAAGGCTTCTGAATATCGTATTAATTCGTCGAAATAATTGTCTAGTAGGCTCGAAGGGTGTCTCTAAAGTTTCGCGGGGGGCATTCATTGCTCCACCCCGTCCGCTAGCTCGCCGCTTTCTTGGCAAAAAAATGTAAATTTCCATCAAACCATCGCATATCAGTAAATCTTTTATCGCATACCAAATCCTATCACCAAACATTCCTCCTCACAACACCATTCAATTCAACTACCATCACAATGGCGCCTTCCCGCACCAGTACCGTAAAAAACAAGAATGCATCCAAGCATGCTGCAAACGGCTCTGGAATCCGCAACAGTAAAACTGTTTCTCGAGCTCAAAGCGATGGAGTCTCGAAATCGAAAGGCAAAAAAGCTACACAGTCTAAGGGAGCCCCACCAAAACAGCAGAAGCAAGGAAGTAAATTGGCGACGTTGAAGAAGAAGAGGAGAGTTTATACGGAGAAGGAATTGGGTATCCCGGCGCTAAACATGATTACACCGGTGGGAGTGGAGAAGCCAAAGGGAAAGAAGAAGGGGAAGGTTTTTGTGGATGATAGGGTGGGTTTTTTCTGTTTGTTTATTTTTGTCTTGGAGCGTGTGGGATGGGAAGGAATAATTGAGATTGGGGTTGGGAGATTGGGTCGATCAATTATTCACATGAGGAACTTGGACTAATCACTTGCGCAAATAGGAATCCATGATGACAATTCTCGCAATGGTAAACGCGGACAAGGATGGCCAAATCGAGAGTAAGATGATGAGAGCCCGACAGATGGAAGAGATTCGAGAGGCGAGAAAGGCAGAGCATGAGAGAAAGCAGCAATTACAAAAGGAAAAATTAAGTGAAATGAAGCAGGGTTTGAGGAAAAAGAGAAATAGAGGGGGAGATGATGAGGGTGAAAATGTGAAGAGAGAGGCATTGGCTGGAACGAAACCTCTGAAGCCTAAAAAGAAGACTGTTTCGTTTGCTTGAAAGGTCGGATTACGGATTTTCAGTTGAAGATTATCATTGTGGGAAAGACAGGCAGGCAGGCATAATTATATTCGGGCGTTATGGCGAATGCAACTTGGGTGGGACGAGGATTAAAAATGGCATTTGAGGTATACCAGCGGTGTATTGACATTAGATTATTACTGTGCTTGAGAATTGCTACGATATCTAAATAAAGTCTATAAAACATGCCTCGCTCTATTCTAACATCTTCAGTTCAAGTTGCTTATAATAGCGGAACCTCAAGTCCATTTTCGAACCATCGGTTGAAATCTAGGGCGAGGGGGACTCAGATCAGCGGAATCGTGTGCGTCAGGAGGAACAATGGTGTCAAGTTGTACTTCAAAAGCCATTTTGTTCAGGAAGTTGACACACTGCATTTGATTAGTGGTAGTTATATGAATCGAGAAAGCTTCAACTTACTGGGCGAGCATGCCACCTGTGACCCCCGATCTCAAACCATGATAAGTGGCCACCTAGAGATGTGGTACACAGCACTGTGTATGGATTCTTCTTGATTTCTTCACGTGGTAAGCATTCACCGGTAGCGATCTGCAGATATGTTAGTAGGTATTGAGGTCCAAGAGAAGTGAGTGATACTTACAGGGTCATCCTCAGCATTTATAGCAAAGAAAGGAATTTTCACAGCCAGTAGCGAATCTGTTGATGAAGCGTCTCTGTAGTATGCACCCTCTGTAGGGTAACCCCAAGCAGGACCTTGAATTTGTCGATCGAATTCGTGTAGGTAGGTGATGTTCCTAATCTTGTCAAAATCAATCTTTGGATTTTTGATGATCTGGTCATGATGAAGTTCAACGAGTCTTTTCATATTGCTACCCATGGTCTTGGAGTAAACTTCTCTTCCAAGCCAGGTTCTTTGGAGAGCGAGTGATCCAGCATCTAAGTTCCAGGGGTTGGAACAAACGACGGCGGCTTTGAGGACGCATGCATCTCCTTCTTCGGCGATATACTAGGATGTGTTAATAAAGTCAAGGTACAAGTAGGAGGATGCGTAGGAATCATGGCAAAAATCAAGAGGCAAACTGGGGAAGATGTGTACAAGTAGGGAAGATTAAGTAGAACGGGAACAATTGAGGAACATACATTGGTAAGAATGTTAGCTCCTAGAGAGAAACCGATACCAAACAAAGGCCTGTTGGGAAAGGTCTTTCTCAGCCAAGCAATTGTCTGTCGAGTATCCCATGTAGCTCTTGCATTGTACAGTACACTGCTCGTGATTTTATGTTTGGCACATCCACGACTATTGATAACGCATGCCTCCCATTTTGAAGCATGATCGGCTCCAACCAAAGGCTCCAATACATGCTTGAGATAGATCTCGTAAGAACCACCGGAAAGTCCATGTAAAGTCACGAGCATTGGCCGACTATCTAAAGATGCAATCCCTGAGAACTCTTCATCCGTATAGTATGTAGTACGAATAGGCAAAGTATCATCAACCTCGCTATATGGCTCATGGACTACGAAATCAACAGCAAAAGAGCCTTGGAAAGCTGGATCCTCATTCTCAAAGAGCTTTCGTTTATAGTAAATAGGAGGTCCATCGTTCTTTACAACGGTCCAGAACGTTTGCATGTGACCTAATGGAGTTAGTCACTTTACGTCCAAACCATTCATTGCAAAAAGGAATTCCATTACCATTGAATAAAAGGGGGTTGAGACGACATGGCGGAGTTGACTCTTCACATATCTTGAGAAGATCTGTTGTAGAACCATCTTTACTTTTGAGGCTTATGGGATTTGGAGGATGGGTAAATCCAATCTTTGCATGTCCAAGCCACTCCATCCTAATTGGATTATGAATAACTTTTATTTAAAAGCTTCTAGAACTGTTTTGGTGTAATGGGGCGTGAAATGGTCGCTTTTTGTAATAACGAAAGACAGATTGACAGATTGATAGATTGATAGATTGTACTAGATATACATACATCTATCGAACGGGAAACGAGTTGAAATTGGTACAAGAAAAAAAGAAAGGGAGATTGAACAGATTATAAGTAGTGAAGTACACACGCCAGCAGATGTACAGACCTCCTTTTGCTTCACACCCACAACACCCACTTGCAAAATTGTGCTGAAAACTCATGGAGATTGTCGGGAAGGACTTCGGTGAAACCCATCGATTCTCATTGGCTGACTCTGATCACATAGTTAGAGTAGCATCCTTGCAGAGTATTCTTATGTCATTCATCCTTTCAATGTTCTGGTAATGCTCGTGAACATTCATTTATATTTATTATATCTCTTATTTTTCACCACCGCGCGGATATATTGTGACTGAGGGTTATTCAAAAGAGGGGCGAGTTATGTCTCGAAATCATGGCATGCCCAATATTTGGCCCGGGTATGATCCAAACGCATATCCTCCGCAGGACAATTCGCCTCAATACGATAGGAACGGTATGATGATGCAGAACGGTGCAAGCGTGCAACAATACCAGATGGGAGGAGCTATGCAGCAGGATCAAAGATCGTATTGGAATCCAAATGTTCAACTTCAATACAATATGCCCACGACTGGATATGCGCCCGACAATTTTCGTACGGCACCATCCACCGCGCCGCAGTATTATCAACCTCAACCTCAACCTCAAGTTCAGGTTCAGGTTCAAATTCCACAACCCATTCAGCAACAATATCCTCTCAATCAACGCGCCCCGCAACATCGCATACTACCTCCGTCAAACATGCCAATGGAGCAAATAAATCCTCAGGTAGCCCATACGAAACCCCCGACGCAACTTGATTATCCTCTACTTTTGATCTCGCTGGCAGAGGAGTATTTCGGCGCAGCGCATGAACTTGCACCAGCAGTTGCGATCGCCATGACGGAAGAAAATATTCACGCATATCACAAACTGATTACTATGGGGCTGGAATGTTTGACTATTGCACTGAAGCAATTAAAGCTTCCTGCAAGATTGGAGGCTAAAGTTCGACTGCGGATTGCCGGAATTATATTCGAAGAGACAAACAACTATGCAGAGGCAGAGACCATGCTTAGTCAAGGCATAATACTTTGCGAAAGAGTATGACACGCTTTTCATTTCGTGGCTACAGTTTCTAACATGAGATTAGAATCACTACTACGACCTCAAATATGTAATGCAGTTCTTATTCGCGCGATTGATGTTCGAGAAGAATCCAAAAGCAGCCATGAAAACACTTGACAGCCATATCTCCGATGCGCAAGCGTACGTAAATGGTTTCGAGTATATTGTCTATAGTCGCTGACTGTAATTAGCTATCAACACAATTCCTGGGTCTACGTATTCCGATTTCTTAGAGCATCACATGCTTTACAATTAAGGACTCCAACAGATAACCATGCGGCCATACAAAATATTCGAGGCATTTCAACCCTTGCGAACCAACAGGGAGATCGTTCTGTTTATATTGTTGCATCCCTCATGGAAGCTATTGCCCACTTAAAGTCCGCCGGAGTAGATGGAATTGAGCATGTTCAACGAGCTATTGCTGCGGCACGAACCTATCAGCTTGACAATAAAAGTAGCATACCTCAGCTCATTGGTCTTACTCATATTCTTGATGTAATTTGTAGTATACTTCGTGGAGATCCAGCTCAGATGCTGAGTACTTTGAGGGCAATGCAGATGGTTATGGATGATTTATTAAAAAACACGGCATGGAGCATCGAAAATGACACCCTTGCTATACCTATAGACGGCGTTCACAAAGTCAAAAATCTCATCAGTCCAGATACCCGAAATGTTTTGAGTACGAGGGAAGATGGGCGAGGCCAGATAGTCATGTCATTTTTGAATAAGAGAGATGCATATGCCTTAACGTTCGTATCACACGCTTTTCGAGTCGCTCTGAGAATTTCTAACATGATTACAGTTATCTACTTTCAGGAATAGTTTTAATGCACAAAAACCCCCTCGATCAAAAAGCCGTGAGATTTCTCAAAGAAGGTCTAGGCAGAATTATAGGTAATCGGTATTTTTCTCCTCTATACATTGATGCTAACATTTATTGCAGGAGATGAATCTCGAGCATCCAGAGCCTCCCCTGGCCTGTTGTCCGAGATTGTTGCCAAACAACAATGGCGTGGTCATATTCTATGCTATTTGCACATTTACATGGCATTCTGTTGCGCTGCTGTGGGTAATTGGTCACAAGTAAAACAGTCTATGAATTGCATAACAGCTGCTGCAGAAAAGTTTGAAATTCCCTTGTCAGGGCGATTAGGAACTCTTACTCTCTATCTTGAAGGGGTCTATTTTCAGGGAACTGGCGATTTGAAGGCTGCTTTGAAAGTCTTCCAGCATGAGACATTTCAGCTATATGATTTGTCATCCGAAGATCAGGTTGAGCGTGATATTGCAATTCTTGCCGCTCTCAATGTTCTCTTGATTCTACAAGATGAAATTTGGCAAGATCCCATCGAGAATGTTACGCTTATTTCGAAACTCGAACCATATTGCGTCAATCATCCTACTAAAGATATCCAGACAGCATTCTCAATACTTAGGGCGACTGTCAAGACCGGAAATTCCGCTATGATTCACGAGACTAAAAATCACCTGTCTGCAGCTTTAGCTAAGGCAAAGGCTTCCCACAACACGCAATTCTTATGCCTTGTCCTTAACATCATGTGCAGTAAGTTCTTCAACAACTGTCTAGGGGACCAAGCAGAAAAGAGTGCTTTAGCTGCACTAAAGCAAGCCAACCATAGCAAGAACAAGCTATGGGTTTCTGTTGCCGAAGGGTTGTTAGCACAATTTTATGACATCTCTGGAAAGAGACAAGAGGCTCAGGCGACATTTGAAGAAGCTTGTGCTGTAGCACACGAAGCTTTACCAGGACATTAATTGCTTCGAATCTTGCGTTGTTTTGGGTGGATACGGTGTTATGGGAAAGGTATAGGTGCGTGCTATAAAGAGGACGATGGAAGGTTTTATTAACGGTGTTGCATGGCTGGCATTGGTGGGCGTTTGGCTTGAGATAAACGGATGCTCTCTACGCATATACCCATTTGCTTGATTCTGTTACGATTGGCGCTGAGACGGTGTTCAAAATGAATGTGTGGATATTATGGCATAATACTCCGCGTGATTGCTTGGTTTGTATTATGGGTACAATGACAATGGAAATGTACTTGAATATTTTTTTAGTTGCTCTTGTGCTCTTGATCTCTATCAAAAGATACTGTGCTATATGCAATACATGCGATCTAATCACAATTGAAAAGTGCCTCAATTTCTCACCAACTACGTACTCCAAACCTTGCTTGATCTCTCTCAATATATTTATTCATTAACAAAGCCTGATCGGTAATTGAGCTTCGGTGAATTCATTTCAGAATGGGGATCATTTTTCCTGTGGAGTAAGGGTATCGGGCCCCCTGCACGCCCTGTCCCGTAAAAGTACGCTAAGATAGAGGTGGTAGACAATCAAGAAAAAAAATCGAGATCATAGTCGATAAGGAACAAATCCAACTAATGGCATGAACAAAAGAGATTTATTCTCTAAATCGTTCTCATGTTTGTCTCTCTAAGTCGGCGGACTCCTAAGCTGCAGCAACCATACGTCTGTACATCATGCCTCTCGAAACTTCTTGGGGCTTCAGATGCTCTTCCTCTATACTCAAATGCGATACGGGGCGCGCCGCGGGCACCTAGAAATGCCGCCACATTTTCGACGACACGGCTTAATTACAAGAAGAAAAACACGAACACTGACACCAAGAAGGTCGATGATGCTCCGAAAGATAGTGGTGACACTCAAACGGCAGGTTCAACGGCTCTGCAAAGTTTGATGGAAGCGTCGAAAGCAAAAAGAGCCGCGAAGTCGAAAAAGAAGAAACCGGCGAAGCAGGTCAATGAGCAAGAGAAGGGCAAACAGCAGCAGGCTACCTTGGGCCAAGGGGACATAAATCCCGAAGATGGGAATCAAACAAACGTCAAAGACTCTGGCTCAAAACCAAAATCGAATACGAAGAAGAATGCGAAGAAGGGCACGCCAAAGTCAAAGACTACAAGCGGTGATGTAACAAACAAAAAGATAAACGAAGAAGAAAAGGAGTCGAAGGATCGAATCAAAAAGGTCAAGCAAAAGCTTATCAATTATGTCAATTCGACCAGCTCGAAGAGCTTGATCCGAAAAATTGAAAGCAAAAGTGCTGCCCGTGATGACACAAAGAATTTGAAGATAGCTCCTTGGCAGCTGCATTCCATCTACGAAACCATGGTAGCTGAAAAGGGTGAAGCTGCTGCAAGAAAGGATCTCGTCGATCTTATTCAAAAGGGAGGCTTAACTACCACAGACCGGACTCAAGTTATGAAAGAATTGCGTGCATCTCTTGTCAATAGGCCAAGGCCAAAAAAGGAGGATATGGTTTCTGAAGCTGTGAGCTCATCAACTAATCTAGCTGGAATGCTGGCCTCGTTTGAATCTATTCCTCAAGGTCCGGTCAGGAGGATTGTGGATAGAAAGTCTAAATCTGCCAAGGAGCAGAAACCAAGTCGCGAAAAAGCTGCGCCTGCAAAGGCTAAAGAAATCAAGACAGGCCCAATGAGAAAGTCTCCCGGCACAACTGCATTTGAAGTAAAATCGGTAGATGCCGATTCTCTTCAGCTAGTACCAGTACAGAAGAAGCAACCTCCAGTTCCTGGACTATCATATGGACTTGAAAGAGCCCTGTTCAACCCTGGAGTGTATCATCTACAGGATCCTCGTTCGCGTGTGTTCAACTTCGATCCTTATTTGCAGAAGATTATGCCCGTCAGTGAATTTGATTTCACCGCTTTGAAACAGTATGTCACTTCTTCGAGGGATGAAGCATTGATTGAGACTGCCAAACATGAAAAGAGAAAGTATACAGGTTCAACTTCAAGTATGTCGGCATCTCTTGCCCACTTTCATTTCTTGCTATCACAGTGGAGGCCAATCAATACAAGCATGCTATCACAAAATTTCCCTGTTGAATTCAATTCCTTCACTGCGCTCCAGCGAGGCCCATCAGCAGTATTTCTGAGGGAGAGAGACGGAGTTTATGCCATTGATGCGGACAAGCAATTTGATACAGCCAATATATTGAGTATGCTTGGAAAATCAATGGAGAAGCTTCTCACTTTACCGAAAGAAGAGTTTGAACAGTATCGAAAGGAAAACTCGAATTCAATCACAGAAGATCAACGTAACGAAGTTGAATCTTTCCATTATACTACTATGGGCGATTTCCTTATGCGATCCCAACTCGATGCCCACGATCCCCGCCTTCCGGGGAGCGGCATGTTTGATCTAAAGACTCGAGCTGTAATATCCATTCGCATGGATATCGAGAACTACGCAGAAGGAAGTGGCTACGAGATCTTTAGCCTTCATGGAGAATATAATTCTTTTGAACGAGAGTACTTTGATATGATCAGAGCTGCATTCTTAAAGTACTCTCTACAAGTCAGAATGGGTCGTATGGATGGCATCTTTGTTGCATATCACAACATTGAGCGAATTTTCGGTTTCCAATATATCAGTTTACCAGAATTAGACAATACTATTCACGGAACAACGGATACTACCACCGGAGATAGGGAATTTAAACTCAGCGTTGATTTGCTCAACAAAGCCTTAGATCGTGCAACTGCTAGATTTCCAGGAAAATCATTACGATTACATTTCGAAACTCGTGGTAATGTCGAGACGCCATTTATGTACATTTTCGCTGAGCCTATGGAAGAGGAAGAGATACAAAAGATTCAAGACACAAATAAAGCAGAGATTGAAGCATTCGAAGCTCGCGTTCTTGGTCTACATGGTGAGAAGGGCGAAGAAGAGCAGTTGGAAGAGAAGAAGAATGCTGAATGGGAAGATCTTCGTGCCAAGATTGAAGAAAGTATGGAAAATGATGAATTTGAGATCAAGAGTGCAAAGGAAATCGCTGAGAGCTTGGTTGAGCATCATGATGTCACTGGTTTGACGTTGGATGAGGTGGAACAACGTGTGGAAGAGTTCCTTTCAACCTCATCCTATAATGAACAAGGTGAAGCTGATGCTGCGGGAGAGAGCGAGAATAAACTGTGGAAAGAAGATAATGTTGATGTCGATGAAGAGACAGTTGACATAATGGAAGTGATTGAAGAAACAGAGCACGACGAGGATATGGAAAAGACTACTGCAGAAGCGGATGAGGATGCCGACGAAGAGAATGACGAGGAGGATGAGGAGGAGGACGAGGATGACGAGGAAGAAGAAGAGGAAGAGGAAGAGGAAATTGAAGAGGACGGCGATGGGGAGGAAGAGGAAGAAGAGGAAACTGAAGAGAGAGACGAGGAAAAGGAACCCGAAGACTCAAGTGAGGAAGCAAAACCTAGCGATCTTAGGGAAATTGCCATTGAGGAAACAGTCATGCAAGAAGGTCTTCTCGTCGACCCAGCTGAAGAAACTTCGGGCGCTCAAAACAACAACGTCGAAGCATCTGAAGCTCGGGAGCCGGAACTTGTTGAAACTGAGGATCTATTAATTGACTCCGCTGAGGAAACTTCGGATTTCTCTGATTCAAATCATGAGTCATCAGAGTCTCAAGAAGGCTCAACGGATGAGTCTTTCACTTCAAGTGAAACAGATGATACCAACGACAGGACACTAATGTCAGATGTCGAGTCAACTCTTCCAGAGGAAGCACCTGAAAAAGAGATTTTAGCAATGCATCTTGCCATTCGCAACAAGGTCAACGACAGCTACGTAGTACGACCGGAAAAGTTGACTAAAGACGATAAATGGGTTGTTGAATACGCATTATCGGAAATTCCCGATCACGAAAGGGCTATGAATCTTTATAAAGCAACCCAATTGAGAAGAAAGACAGCTTTGAGAAGATCAGATGAGCCAGACACCAAATGGGCTGAGGAAAGGAATAGTAAATTTATTGCGCATTTGAAGGACTTGGCACAAAGTGGTCGGGCATGGAGGCAGAGGATTACGGAGAAGGAGGCGAATGAACCGGTCAAGACGTTGGAATTTAGAGAGGAGCCAAAGGAGGTTGGTGTTTACGAGGGGTATGAGGAGATGAAGAGGGCGGCTGAGGAGAACAATGAAATGATGAGATCAGTGGAAGAGAATAGCGAGGAAAAGTCAAAATAGAAAATTTTCTGGGTGGATTTAGAGCATTGTATTATTATTGCGCGCCTTATGCTCTAATGATGGGTGGGATCTGGCATGGACTGGACGTTAAAGAAAATAGGAGATATGTATAAAATGTACCATCATGATCGTCACTCAAATTCAAAAATCAAAAGTTTTGTTTCTAACAACGTCTCCATTCCTTGATGTTCAAATTGCCTTATAGCTTTGCCAATTGTGACTCCGCGAGGGCTTTGTTCTATACCTCTTTACGACCCTAGATAGTGAATGATTGCCAAGTCCCACCAATTTCCGTCAATTCCTTGCGAAGTCGCTGGGGCAATGTAGCAAGTCTTTCCGGTGAGATAGATATAGGTGGCAATACTAGATAGGAATCATAAGCAAGTGATCTCCCACTTTCATCCCCAGAATATACAAAAAGACTCATCTTTCGTAGTATCCACCAATCCCTAACAAGTCAGCCCAAAACTCTCAATACTGATATCCCTAATCCTCTCACTCTCCGCTTTTGCCCCAACGAGAATCGTATAGATCTCATACTGCACATCTTCTAATCCCATCTCGCGATACCATTTCTCAAAATCATACAAGTATTCCAGTTCTTGTCCTCCGATACAATGGTAAATACATCGATCCATGCTTATTGGAATTCTTTGATGGCCGATTCATTGGATGGCCAGGGGGTAAACACCATTTCGGATTGCTGGAACTATCCACCTGGTTTTACGAGCGCAACGAGTCGCGAGACTACGGAATGTGGAGAGTGTATTCCTGCATCTGGAAGAGCGAAGCGTGATTGTACTAGATCGAAGATGGAGGTGAGCTCGGACGGCCAGTCGGAAGTCATGGATTGTGAGAAGAAGGAGAAGTGCGAGGACGGGAGAGGGGCGGGAGAGGGGTAGGAGTCGACGATGTCGGTTCCGATGTATTTTTGTTGGGCTGGGGAGGGGCGGCGACGTCTTTGAGCCAGATGCCGGGGGGTTGTTATGTGTTGTTTTTGTTTGGGCGGTTGTGAGAAATGAGGATAGGGAATTTATCATCTGAAGGTGCTTGATGGAGAATCTTGAGTCCGGGCTTGGAGAGGTCGATAGGGGCTTTGGCTAAGTTTTTGAAGTGGTCTTTGGCGATTTCGTGCTGAAGAGCTGGTTGTTCGGTCTCGCTTTTGCCGGTCTCGAAAATGACGTTGTCGTCGTTGGTCTCGGTTAGGCCGGGCATGATGGAGATTTTCGGGACATGGTAAATAACACATAAATGAGAAATAACTCTCTTCACAGCCTATAATTACCTCTCATCATGTAAGATCACCGGTAGATGTGATCAGACCGGGACATCGAGCAGCGGTGTATGTGTCAAGACCAACACGAAAATTGTTACAACCGCCAATTCTCGGTGGTTTCAACAACGTAAAGGGGAGTTGGGAAGGCATTGGAGGACTAGTAATACGATATAGTTTTCACGAGCTGGCTGGTTTGTCTCCTCGTTTACTAGATGTGAAAATTTGAGAATGTTGCTGTTTGCAAGTGGAGACTTTTATTAGGAAGTTTGATTTGGAGAGAAATTGATGAGTTAGGATTCTGCAATCATCTCTGGAAATATCAATATCGCCAATCTTTCTACTGCCAAAGTGATTATTTCGTTTTCATTGTGTGGCTATATTATAAGAGTCATCATCGAAGGTCCTGACTCAACGCCACTGCTCTCAACTCTCAAAGCCCTGGGCGAGTACCAACACATTTCAGCAATATACTCGCAATGTATCCAAGTAAACGAGCAGCTTGGTCGCAGACCCAAGAAAGGATGAAGAGCAGGACTTCCACGTGATTCTCCAAATGAAGATTCAATTTGCGTCTCGTGCAAGCTTTTGAAGATAGATATCCGAGTATTTGAGATTCTAGTAGTATTTCCCTGTCTCAGAATGACTGAAGCCTTTCTCTCTCTTAAATCTGAGAAGATATATGATATGCGACACGTGATATGGATCCCTTCGCATGAGCTCTCTCGATCGTATCTACAACATAACGCGTCACCTGGGCAATGAAATGATCGAGACCTAGTGATATTTCCAATTGAAAACGAAAAGCATGGTGAGTGTAAGAAGAAAATATGCGCTACTAACAAAAAAATTTGCGGAAGATATCTGGCGCTAATCGAGAGTGTATACGTACTCAAATATGGAATCGTCACTACTAAAATACTAGCGCCAATGGTTTAGTGGTAAAATCCAAGCTTCCCATGTGAAGATACACATCTTCACGAGTTTGCTTGGGCCCGGGGTTCGATTCCCCGTTGGCGCAACGAATATGTTAACGGAGTTTCTATTTTGCTTTTTTATATCCTCGATCATCTTTCGTTTGACATCGAGGGTTTCCAAGGTTGTTCTTATTGTCGTCAAAGTCGAGGTGATGTGTTCGGTTGATGTGGCGTGTTGAGATTGTGGGGTAATTGTGGCGGAGCTGTGGAGGTGAATTGAGTGAACCCCACATGCCTCCTTGATATCGAGTATGAGCTGTGGAGTAATCGTAGAGGTGCTGAGAACTTTGACTTAACGATGGCTGTTTTTTTGAACTGGCTTCAGCTGTTACTCGTCTTTATTGTTTTGGAGGTTCGCTGTTCAACAAAAGATCATGATTCCAGAGCTATCACATTTAAGGCTAGTTTGGAGCGGAAGCAAAAAATTATGCGCAATTGAACTGTTGGCGCTTGCTATCGTGAAGGCAGGGGTCGAAGAATAGTCCTTTGGCAGCTCTAAGCAAAGTGGCAAACGTTCGGAGGTTGAAAAATACATTGTGTCTTGTACAACGTTAAGCTGTTTTGGGATTAACAGTTGACGATGACCAAAGAAGATTTTGACTGGAAGTTTTCTCTCTTCATAGAGAGAGCTTCGTAATCTACTAAATGTTGGTATCTTTGCTGTTCTACTTCTTTTCGGCGAGACCCCTATGGCAACAATACTTTTTAGGCCTTAATTCTGTTTTCTAAACTGTTCATCTTGCATCCAATAAAGTGAATGTGAGACTCATCTTTTCAGGCAAGGTTTTAGACACGCAGTTGCATACTAAATAGCAGTCAGTGAAGCACATATTGAAAACTTTTAACTGCGCACAACACTGATGCCTCCTCTCACAACTGCCTTTCTCCTCTCCATGAAGTTCGAAACTCGCTAAGGAAGATATATTCCGGAGAACAATTATCTATCGCTAGGTCAAAAACAGAGTTGGGCATTCAAGAGAGACGCCAACAGCTTACATTCCTTGCAAAACAATGACTATAGAAGCTAAACCCTTGAGCAAATGGCTTTAGCTGTCCGTCCACTACTGCCAGGTAGCACTGATCCAGTCCTGCAAAAACATAAATACCTAGTCATAGCTAAGTGTTGCCTTCTTGGAATTCCAATCATTGCAACTGGGGTCGTTTGTAAGGCCCAAGCAGTTCCCCAAACTGACAGTTCCTACTCATCTAAGGAGAGCTCTCTCACGATCAATTGTCATAAATATCAAGACTTCGCTTGATGTCGAACCTTAAATGGACATTGTCGATTAGACACTATCATAGCTGGTGGAAAAGTTTCAAGCATGAGATGAGGACAATCGCTTCGAAAAGAAACATTCAAAAGAACCTGGCGTGCATACCACATCTTTCTTGGCTGGAAGAATAATGTCTACAATGGTTCAAAGCTCAGTCAGGGGAGTAATACTGAAATAGGTCCTAGCACTTGCAGAGCCTTAACCGAATATGTGATTTTTAGCTTAACATATATTCGGTATGCAGTCAGGTCACATCGGTCAACAGCACCACAGACATCACATAATGAATATTGATGGAAGGTCATGGTGATCATTTTATTACTCCATCTAACTAAAAGTGTGCTACCATCAAACCCGAAAGCTTGCATGCCGAAAGGAAATGAAAATGAGTGAATTTGTATACAGTAAAGAGTGTTCCTATGTGCAATCAGTGGAATCATAGGCAGAGGGTAAGGCTTGAGAAGAAGCTCCTGCACAAAGAAATCAGCAATGTTTTTAGACGTTTGCTTGAGGTTCTTGAAGCGAGTTTCAGATCCGGATCGTCTTAGATACTTGAAATATGCATTGTAAACATAGAGGTGATTACTGCTTCAAATAATCGAAGTATTGCGAGGTTTTTCGGAGGTATGCCAATCGCATAGAGATTTCTGTGATAAAAAATCTACTCATCATTAGTCTTAGGTATGTAAAAGACGGATTTTTATCTCACCAGATGTTACCCTAATACAAGTGGAGTGTAGGCCATTATTAGCATATCACATAGCCTTTGTGCGAGAGAACAAACTGCTGTAGACTGCATCCACAACAGGAGTAGCGCTAATCATTCGCCCACCGAAATATCTTCCATTCAGACCCTTGATGGCATTCTCTCCTCCTTGTACTCGATCGAATTTGAGATAAATATCTCCTTGGGAGTTTGGATCTAAAGCAATGTGAACAACGTGGCCATATTTTTCTTCCGCTTCTGCGCGGACATCATCCTCAAGTTCCTTTTCCCAGTTCTCACCGTCCTCTCTGTGAAAATGGTTAGCAATGAATCGACAGAAGGGGATATATTACTAACTCTGTAGGATCGAACATGTTCTTAAGTACAACACAACGGCTAGCCATGTTGACATTGACAGGTAAAGCTTTGGTTTCTGTTTTAGGTTTTGATACTTCTCTTCTTTCGTGATTTGCCGCAACCGTGGTATCATCTGTTCTGGCGAGTTTTCTCATCAATGCATCTCGACTATAATTGTTGAAGTTCACGCCGCCAACGTCAGTGTCGTCCAAAGCACTAGCACCGCCCGCACCTTTATCATTATCTCGACCACCAGCACGATCGAAATTGCTGCCGCCAGCAGCGGTAGGACCACGCCCACCAGCGCCAGAAAATGCGGAACCCTGAAATTGTTGTTGGTGGCTTTGGCCATGGAATCTTTGCAGAAGACTGGCGGTAGATTCAGGAGTGAACTTATCGTTTCCAAGACCAACACGAATTGGTCTGCCAGCAAGATCAAACCCATTCATCTTCTCCAACGCTTCTCTAGCTTGATTTGGATCACGGAACCTATTGTACTTGTTAGCATAACCACAAGACTTTTCATGTGAAAAGCTTACTGAACAAATCCATAACCTCGACTACGTCCTTGCTCTTCTTTTTGCAATTGAACAAATTCGAGCTCACCAAATGGCTCAAATACATTCTGTAAATCGCTTTCAGTGATGCTGAAATGTATATTACCCACATATAGTCGATGGAATGGAATTTGATTAGGGTTACTAGTGGTAGCTTCTGGATTGCGGACTTGTCGATTTTTCTCAGCCTCGGTGAGTTGTGCAATGATTGGGATTCCTAGGAGTCTCTGTCCAGTGAGTTGTATAGCAGCAGGAACTGATTCTTCGTTTTTAAACTCAACATAGCCCACACTGTACAAAGTTAGTAAGTAAGCCATGCAAGAATTATTAAGAAAACACATACCCTTTAGATCTACCACTGACTCTGTCCTTGACAATCTGAGCCTCCTTAACGGGGCCAACCTTTTCAAAGAATGCGATGAGTTCCTTAGTTCTGAGACGCGCTGCTAGTTGTTGCACAAAAACGGTGCGCCTGTCCCGTTCATCTTCAGTCAAGGGGGGTGTTCCTTCTCGTTTGGGACTTCTCGGCCGGCGTTCTTCTCGAGGCTTGTCTACCTCATCGCGGTCACGGCGGTCACCTCGAGGACGGTAATATCTATCGGGACTTCTGGTACGTGAGCGTTGACGTCCGCCACCCCTACCTCCTCTATAATAATCTCCATCCCTGCGGCCATTTTCTTCCGGGGTATCTCTGCGGCGACGAGGTTGTCGACGATTGTCATCTCGGCTTCTACTTCTGCGTCTACCCTTTGCGCTTCCATGCTCACTTGTTGGGGTTGAAGTGCCATCTTTCTCGTTTCTATCTCTGCTGCGAGCGCGGCGCTTTCTATCTCTGTCGCGATCCCTGCTATCATCGCGAAGTCTATCACGGTCGCGTCTTTCACTGCGCTCACCCTTGTGGCGGTCATCGGATTCTTTAGTCTTAGTAGATCCGTTTTGCTCAACAGGAGTAGCAGCTGCAGTTGAATCCAAGAGGGCTTCGACATCTAAGGCGGACATGGTGAGGGTAGTTACTCGCCTGAGAATGGACAATTTACAAATTCGATGATCTTCTTGTTCCAAATGATTGCTTGGCAAATCAGACAGACAAAATATGATGGCTAGTGGTATTTGAAACCGTCGAAGATTGATGGATATGGGATTAGTGAAAGACTTTTAAAAGTTAGAATTGTTGTCTTGTACAGAAAGTGGCTGGTGGGAAAAACATGAATTAGTCAGTCTAGTGTTTCTTCTTAGTTTGATCATTGCACCTGCACCACGTGTTTTGAACGATCAAAATAATTCTGGCTGCGGTGCAAAGTTTTTGGTCCATGATCAATATTTAAGGTGAATTGAGTGAAATTTTTGCCCGAAAAAATTGTAGTAAATACAATATGAAGGTAATGAATTGTGATTTTTCGAAAGTAAAAAGTCTATATTAGGATATTAAAAAGGTTAAGAAACTATTAATTCTTCTAGGAAGGCCAGCCTGCTCTCCGTATCCAGCCTAATTCATGAACGCCGAGACCAGAATGTCTTGATAGTTCTATATCGTCAAGTCGTTCCAAAAACACACCATTGTTTCCTAGTTCAGCTGCATCATTTACAAATTCGTTATCCATCTCCACTTCATACGGTTTTTGGCGCCGGTGCGAGTTGAGTTCCAAAGATGCAATCCCAGAATCGACTGGTAACTCCGAATCCGTTTTCGTAATCCATGAAGTGATGTTGAAGATGGTACTTCTTCAATTGTCTCCAGTACGAAGGCAGTGTGCGATGGTGAAGGAAGTAATGTGTCAAATCATAACAGATGTATCCAAAGATTCCTCCGCAGAACACTGCTGTAGCCACATGCCAATCCCAGTAGAACACAGCATGGGCAAGCTTCCAGAAAGGAGTCGCCAAAACAATGAAGAGGGTAGGAGGCATAACCAATCGGTACTTATCCATTGGTAAATAGTGGTGAATGCCGTGAAGTAAGAAATGAAGCGTGAGTGCTACTCGGTTGTCTGGGAGCCATCTAGAGATACACGTTAGCTTGATATTCGCTGTCGGATTTAAAGGAGAGGTGTATGGATATATACATACTTATCGAGGTGGAAGAGGAATCGATGCAAAATGTATTCCACCAGAGTCCAAAGGAATAGACCCAAGAACCAGTACGCTGCTTCTCCAGCGATGTTATTGAATCCTTTGCTCGCAAGGTATGTACCGTAGGTGACAGGTGGAACCCAAACCATAGGCACAACCCACCAAGCTGTCTTTGATAGAGGTTCAAGGAAATTCCCAAAAAGAGGTGCAGACTCTCCTCCCTTATAATGACGTGGTCGATGAACTTGCTCCAAGTAGAACTCCTTGCTAAACCCACCACGCCAGATTTGCATCAGCAATGGCTTGTTTAGGTCAAGGAACTTGTGTGTCTTATAATCGTTCACAACATCTGTCTCCTTGTTCAAATCGTCTTCCGTGGACATTCCAGTATTGGCATAAACGGGCAGAGAGTTTGCGGATCCATTTTCTTTCAATTCCTTCAAGCCTTCTTTTGTAGGTGGAAGTGGAACAATGGAATCTGGTTTTGTACTCTTGGTAGCGGTGTCGATAACCTTATTTGTAGCAACAAATCCGATAAAAGAATCCTCAAGAACATCGTAAGCAGCTTCGGAATGGGTATGCGAGAGCTCGTCCTTTAGGATCGCCGTTACGTCTTGACCAGCGTATTCCAATACCAATTCACCTCCGCCCGGATGGCTGTCAACGAAATCTGTAACATCAAAGACCCTTGTGCCCATAGTAACATAACAGCTATCTGCAGAGTTGTGAGAGGCAACTTCCGCCTGGGTAAGGGTTGGGAGAGTTCGAGAAGGAGACATGGTCGCGATTTTATCGAAAGGTATCGACTTTCGAATTAAAAAAAAATAAGAATCGCAGAAGTATAAGAGGGATGAATCGATATTTTGTATCGATTTTGGGAGGCAAATTGAGAAAGAAACTAGAGAGTTGTCGGGCACGGGCGTAAACAGAGAAACGGAATATTCGGACAATGAATAGGGCGGTGGAAGTCGTGCAACCAACGTCTTTGATATATATGGCAGCCACAGAAAGCAATCAAAGGAATGGGATGTTTACAATCAAAAACTCCAGAATTGCTTCCTCTGCAATCAGAATAGAAGTATACAATAAATGACTCGTTACCGTCCAAGTACGAGTATATATAAAAATCGATGTATACACCGGCCACTCAGAATATGGTGATCTTTCCTCAGGAGATTTTGATAGAGAATCGAGCCACATCAAATCTGTAGATACCGACAACCTTCAGGGGACACCCTGCAGACAATCTTAATTGATCTTTCTGCTTATTCATATTTGTCACGTGATTCTCAAGCCTCGAGGATTCACATGATGGCGGGGTTTGCGTTCAGGTCGTCAGATGTGGCTCAGTAACTTGGCAAGGCTTACAACAACAATCGCAATGTTATAATTCTTCTGCATTCGTCATCTTTCCGATCTTGGAAACCTCTTTTCTACTCTTCATCTTTTGCCAAAAGTACAAAGTGATAGTGGTGATACCATCAAAACACAAAATGGCTTTCCTAATTCCCAGCTCCGGGTCATTTTTGCTCATAGCATGCATATTGCTTCTTGTTTTACCTTCCCCCGCAGTAGCTTTTGGTGCCGGTAATATTCCTAGTATATCCAATATCGAGGGCAAGAACTTTCGTCATGGCGATATCGAGGATATGCTCAAGACTGTTGCTTTCATTAAGGGTCACAAATGGACGAGTATGATGATCAAGAGGGTTTACTTTGGAAACTGGTTGCGAGATTACTCTCAAGCAGTTGATGTAGGAAGTTTGAAAGGTGTATCGGCGCCCACAATTCGAATTCTGGTAAGGAAATGGCTACTTGATTATCATAGGCATACTTGCTAATCATTAATAGGTTTGGGTTCTGAGTTTCTTGTCTTTTGGTTACGCTACTGCAGAATTCGAGGTCACAGAAGAACGTCTTGGCGTTTATAGACCCGAAGAGCATATCGATAATCCCAAAGGTTATGCTGATAATGAAGATGCAAGAACTTTTGACTCCAGACTCCGTGGCCCTATCAATCCTATAGAGCTCGAAATCGACCCAAATTCAGGTATGAAAAATTACATTGCCAACGAAAGTGGAGGCTGGGCAACTAGTGCCGGTTACGTCAAATTCAGCTTCGCACGAAGTATTCATTTTGGTAGACTGTATACTAGCGGCTCACACGGTAAAGGCAAGGAAGAAGATCTCTGTGAAGCCCTTCGATGTCTTGGACAAGCCTTGCACTGCATGGAAGACTTTGGAGCCCATACAAATTATTGCGAGTTGGCTTTGAGAGAACTAGGATACCGTGATGTCTTCCCTCATTGTGGCGTAAATGCGGAGATCAATATTCGTGGTCATCATGTTTATCCTCTAGTCACAGGTACATTCGGAGCCGTTGATTTCTTGCATTCAGTTCTTGGTGAAGCAACTGATCATTTCACTCAAACTGAAGTTGAAGAAATGGATCTTGCTTTGGGTGGGGCGCAAAAGGCGCAGCAGAGTGGTGGTGGCGGTGACGGCCAGCGTGGGTTATTTGGATCTGGAAGTAGCGGCACGGACTTTGCAGGTCTTCTCGCTCAGATTCCTGGTATGGGAAGCGGATTAGCAAGTACCGCACGAGATCTTCAAGCTCAATCTGCCGCTCAAGAATATCAAAATTCCAACCAGCGAACTCGAGCTTCTGGAAATACATTCAACGCTCCTCCTGGCTCTACAGGTGGCCCACCAGGTCCAGGTGTTCCAGGAATGAGCCCTGATTTTGATGCGGTGGCAACTGCAAAGAAGATTTATCCTATTCTCGAGTTCAGAGATAAGATTGTCAGAGCTATTAACAACACAATTGCCAAGATTCCTGGCCTCGAATCATTGGTTGAGAGGATCAGTGAGACGTTGACCGTGTTTATTCTATCTTTACTCGCACCGTTTGTTCGACCTATCATTGATGCAGTGTCTGATAGTTTGAAGAAGGGTTCCAGTACAGTTGTTGAAGCCAGTGCAAACTCTCAATTCGAGCCATGGAATGATCCACATTGCACTGATCCAACTCACTCTATGCTTTCCAAGGATCATTTTTCTAACATGTTGAATTCATGCGCTGGAAGAGTGGCTTCCACTATCTTACAATATGTTACACCGTAAGCTTTCCTCCTATAGTGGCAACAAAATTGCTAACCCCCTTCAGTCGTATACTTTACGCGTGGCAAAATCCGGGCGTGCCGGTTGATGAGGTCATGAACGATATCTTACGCACCTTCCATCATCCAGCTCTCCGCGACGAACATGTCGAAATCCACAAGAACATGTTCAATACTGTGAAAGATTGGATCAACGAACAACCAAATGCTCAGGGTCTTAACCATTTACTCAATTCAGAATCTGTAAAGGCCGGTCGAAACCACACCGGCTCAGACCAACATGATCATAATCATGGCTCTCTCGGTGGCCACGGTAAAACCTCAGGATCTATCTGGTCAGAAATCAAAACTAGAGATCTAGGAGCAATGGAGGGCTTGGATACTAAACCATCATACATAAACGCCTCCCCAATTCCAGGTTCTCCAGGACGACAACACGGCACTCCAAATTACGGGTACGGAAACACGGGTCCTTCACAGCCACCTCAAGGTGGAAATGCTTACCTTGAGCCAAGTTATCAACAACAAGGTGGTTATGCATCTCAGCAACCTCCATACCAACAGTACGGAGGCTATGAACAGCAGCAGCAGCAGCAGCCATACAGCCAACAGTACGGCGGCCCTCCACATAACAACTACGAACAAGGACCTCCTCCAGGAGAGTATTGGAATCAAGGGCCACCTTCCGGTCAGTGGGGCCAACAAGGACCACCTGCCCCCGATCCATGGGGTCAAGGACCTCCTCAGAACCAATATCCTCCTCAGCAGGGATACTCAGGCCAACAATATCCACCTCAACAGCCCCCTTATGGCGGTCAAGGTGGGTATCAATATCCACCCAGTGGTGGTGGTTACGGAGGCTATTAATGATACTCGATAACTTCTTGGGTTTTATATGGGTAGGGTTGGATGGTTTGCTTCATTTTTCATCGCACTTTGTGCTGGTAGGTGGCAAAGTGCGCGCGGGGAAAATGGTGATGGAGGTTTTTTGGGAAATGAGATCAAACCGAATCATTGATATTTTATTTTATGGCTGAATAGTTGGCCACGAATAGTAAACTGCATGAATGTATCATGGAGGATCTATTCAATGCACAAAAAATTTAGTTTTACAAGCCAATACATACATTGATTGAATGAAACTATCCGTTTGCTTAAATTCCTGGAATCTAAATTATGATTGTTAAACTAGGACTGTGTTCCACGTTTACGAGTGGATGGTGGTTTTACATAGTGACATAGATATTAAAGGTCAATTCACGTATACAATTCTAAAGTATAGCAGCTAGAGGGTACCTCATGAACCTCAAATTTCTGTCCCCAACCAGTGAAATTGTCTGTAGATCTGATGAGTATTTTCTTGTCATTATGTATATTATTCTGATACCGATGACATGAAAGAACGATGGAGAAGCTGGGGTGGTATATATAGGTATTGATCTAAGCTGGATTCATTGACGGGTGGTTAAATATCTAGATTCTGGATTGTGAAAATCGATAGAAAATTAGCAGAGATGTAACACAACTCATCAAAGTATGTAGTGAACTTTGAGGAACTTGATAGAAATTCGCGGATAGGTGGTGATGATGATGACAGATTGATAGATAATTTTGCTATTTTAATTCCTCACGAGACGGAATCTTCTATGGATTTCAAGATGAAAATATTATCCTAAGCTGTAGCTGTGTAGATGTCGGGTTGGATTCTCAGTGGGATTAGAATAGCTTTTAGACTAATCTACTCTAAATGATACTCAACTCGATGTAGGATATTCGTATGGTAGATTGCTATGTCCTTTAGGGTTGGAAATTGGACTTGGTTTGGTAGTGATATCATGACGAAGATATTGCGTGATTTGATCGGATAGAGCTAATTCCTCGATGTCAGATTGCATATCGTATGGTTGTATTATGTAGTCCCAAGTTCTTGTTTGAATTTGGTTTCTTAGATAGGACCAATAATGTAATGAAGAATATTCAAACCGTGATGATTCTGATATCCCGTGTTACTTTCATACGATGTTTGATTTCGGAGAACACGATTGGTTGACATGATCTAACGTTCATTTCACAATTCGGTGATAAAGGTTCGGTGTTATTGTGAGCATGTTTTTGGGTCTTGAGATATTAGTTCAGCCCTATGGAGCTAGCTTGTCATGAATCACAATGCTAATCCAGCTGTATTCAAGTGACTGGATTAAACAGTCGTGAGGTGATGATTTTGGGCTGGTTATATTGAGATGTAATGTTTATTTGGGTAACTTTCCATGAATAAGAGACTATATATATCGATTCTTTGAGAATCACAGATTTGAACCACATGACGGAAGATCGTATCCTATAAAAATAGGATGTTAGGGAAGATACCCAAATTTCTCAACTAAACACAGAGAGAAATTACGTGTGAACCAATCAAAAACCAATAACTTTCGAGGAGTATCACGAATGTCGACTGTGCAGATAACTCCAAAACCCATTGATACCAAATGACGCCTCTCAAAATCATCAGATGAACTCTTGTCGGTACGAAGAAGATAGCATTCCTTTAAAGGGATCGTTCTTGAAGGTTTGGAAGGGTTATAGAATTGTTAATCCCGTGGATCTAGTTTATATGTATATTGGTCGATTCGCGCCTTCAATATTTACCCGCAACACCGTTACTGACGACATCGCATGCCCAATACCAAAGGCATGTGTAAGGAAGCCCATCAGTGATTAAGCGAATCATGTACTAGCGAGATGGCTCCAAAGCTTGTTCTAACTAGATACTCTAGATTAATACTTAAAGTACACCATTGGTGAACAATTTCGGGGGTTTATATAAATATGTCATTTACCTAACATGAGGGTTGGATTTGATATGCTATTATCAAGATAAGCTGATCGTATGTCTAGGATTAGATGTAATTGGTGAGTAAATTGTTATCCAGGGCTATTTTATAGTGATCGGTGTATATAAGTGCTTGGCAGCACTTACTCTATTAGATTAGAGTTTTATCCAGTTCATTTGGAAATTCTGGGGTATGGATTTCAAAAGCCTCCTCTGATTTATTTCCATCTTCTTAAGGATTCTCCTCAAACATAAATCCATACTTACAAGTTGCTTCAGACTTTTAAGCCAGATCATATATATTCAAAACAATTTATGCCTAAAGATTGACTTGAATTCTCAAGACAGTTCACAATATCAGGTAGGTTATATTCCCGAACAGATTCACATACTCAAGTTGTTTCAATCACTCTAGTCGGTTCATACATTCAAGAAATTTCGTACTTTGAGACCGACTTCTGATCTTTGGACAAGACAGACAATTGAATCAGTTCATACTCTCAAATCATTTCAAGTTCCCAGAACAATTCATACATTCGAACTAGTTTATATACTTAGGTTAGTTGATCCACTCAAATAAACTCATAGTCTTAAGTTAAATCAGCCTCTCGAGACAGTCCATACTCCTTATTAGTGAAAAGATGGGACGACCTCAACATAAACGTCTTACCCTTATGCCCGAGGAGTGCAAGGGTTATATGCGAGAACAAAAGCGGCGCAGCGTATGGCAGGCAGCGGAAGAACTAGAGAGACAAGCCAAGAAAACGAAAAGATTGGCAGGTGATGCAACGAAAGTAGACGAGAATGAGGATGGTGAGGTAAATGAGGAAGAGGAGGAGGATTTTAGCGAGGATGAGGCGTGTGCGGGAATACCGAGAGAAGACGACGGCGGCGACGAGGAAGAGGGGAGAAGAGAAGGAAAATTTGAAGAGGCTCTGTTCAGGAAGACCTATCCGAACGGATACCCTTACTACGGACTGTCTTTTGCCTTTCAATGGACCAATGAGCCCAGACACCTGAACCCGGGCAGTGTTCGCGAGTACGACCGCCGCGCATACGCGAGGGTCTCCCCAACAACACAGCCCCGCGGTAAAGACGATGGACAAACGAAAATCTCTCCGCCTGAATACCCTAAAGATCTGCCGATTCTTGGATCATGGTGCTGTGGCAAAGTAAATTGCACGATTCACGAGAATTCATCTCGTAAATTTCAAGAATCTAACAAGTTCTGGCCAATCCAGGGGAGAATAATACGGATGTTGCACCGGTCTAGACTTCCGGCAGATGATTGAAGTTTATAACGGCTCTAGTCTGTATGCTATTCAATCTTCCCGCCGTCAGCCCGCCGTCAGCCCGCCTGCTAGTGTGGATAATCGATAGGGTCTCTACCAATCGCTTGTTAGATGCCGTTGAATCACCCGATCCATGTCACACAATCGAAAGATCCGTCACTGGATTATACCAAACGGATCGCCTAGTGAATTAGGTCGTCATTATAATCGAGAGGATGTCTTCCCTGTCGCCTACCAGACACCGTCAAATCACTCGATTCAATCGTCGCTGGATTATACCAAACGAATCTCCAATAACGTATCAGCCTCCAAATAGTCCAAGCGAACCCTCTTATCACTTACAAGATGCATCGTCTCTCCTCTCCACCAAAATCTCGACAATCTCGTCACTGGATCATACCAAACGAGATACCTCGCACCATCCACATAAACTGAGTCGGTATCGCCTCTGCTTTCCCTTCCTGGCCCCCGAGCTTGACTATTTCAAGCAGCAAGGCGAGGGTTTAACTGAAGCGGCTGGAGACGGTACTAGAGCATCTCATTTCATGATCTGGACTACAGGCTGGAAGGAGCTTTTCATTGTTTGGGGACAATTTCGATGTTCGGAGCACCATCATCCAATCCAGTATAATGAATGTCGAGTATTCTAATGAAGTTCTGGAACCGCATACCTTTCATTGCCAGACTCGACTTTCAAAAGGCAATGAACTCCCGAGCTGGTATCTGCAGATCTTTTTCAAGCTCAAGATAAAACTTAAGTGATGATGGATAATACCAGAGAGCGAGAACGAACAAGATCAAGTAAGCAGCCAAGCACGTGTTACATACCTAGATATGTCGTACTCATCTCCCGCTCCCGTGTATGTACGACATATCTATCCGTTTCTCATCTCCGGTACATAGCATAGCCTGCTAGTATACATCTAAGCTTTTGTGCATCTATACACAGCACACGCCACAACAAGGCGGCGGTCAAGCACATACCATACTATACTATAGTACAGATGTTTTGAGAAACTCTCCGGTCCTCCCGCCCTCACCTCCTTATATGCAAGACATACTCAACTATCTCCATCTCTCGCCACCCCCCTCGAGCTTCGGTCCTTATATAGCATGCTAGAACCTAGCTACATGTATATCCAAGCTCAGCACATCCCCTACATCCACAGCACAAGCCAGGACAAGGAGGCGGCCAAGGAAACGGCCAAGCAGCAAGCATGCAAGCACATACTGTACCCTTATAATACGACTGTCACAACAGCCTCCGGGCCCATCAGCTCCTTATATGCAAGACATACCCAACTGTGCCTTGCCATCCTACACCCTCAAGCTCCAGTCCATAACATGCTAGATCCTAGCCATGTATGTATCCAAGCTTGAGCTCAGCAAAAACGCACATGTACACATACCACCTTCCAAGCTCGAGCTCTCTCTCACCCACGCGGCCATCTATTAAATAAAAATAATAATCAAATAAATAAATAAACGGTAGCAAGCGCCGCTCCTCATCTAGATCCCGTGGTGGATTCGCCTACCCCAACCCAGATCCGAAGCAAGACCAAACCCCAAATTCAAACACAGACACAAACACCGTTATATCTATATTCATCTCTCTCGTGTTATCAATATCGTCCTCGCTCAGCCCCAATCTGCACTAGCGCCGGATTCCCCGCGGCCGCATAATCGACCTATCCTATCAGAGACCAGCACAAAAAAGCTTGGACATTAATGCACAAGAGATGAATGCCTAGAACTTATTCGATGCGGCCGAGAATGTTAAAAATATACTTGAGAATCCATCGTATCGATGGGATGAGATGGGATGGAAGAGAGAGAGAGAGGGGTGAAAAATATCATTATCATTCAGAAAATACGATATTGAATGATTCTGTTACTCTCTGTGAATACTATTTCTGAGATTGATGTATAATTAATCACAACATTAAAATACAAACAATAATTATGTACAACACCACAAGTCCCAGACCAAACCCCCTAAATGCCTTCCCGGTGACCACACCACAACACCACACAAAACCATCTCATCTCATCTCACCCAAAGTGAAAAAAGAGAAGAAAAAAAAAACATCGTGAGATTTCCCCTCTCCAAAAGGTGGGCGATACAACATTGCTCGAAAATGTACGCTAACGATTTGCCCCATGCGCATCCCACGCTCTCGCTTCGCTTCACTAATAGAATTATTAGAAGCGATAGCTCGAACTGATTACCATCCCAAATAAAATTGATAAAAGTAAAAAAAAAATTAATTTTTATTTCATTTTTGGGTTTAGTCTAGGGATGTGGCGACAATGTGGGATCCGGTGCATATCTTCTGTCGGTGAAGCACGCAGATGAAGAAAGATAAAGGGATGGGATGAGATGGAGGGATTGCGAATCCCTATGCATAGGTATGTCTCTCTATCTAGGTTTCTGCAGAGCTTTGTTCACTTTGTGCTTTTGCGAATGCTAAGGCCGGAAGGGTAGGACCAGTTGTACTCCGTACAGTAGTTTGTGGGTTGGTGGTTTATGCTTTACGAGGGAGCGGTATGTAACCTTTTGAATTGAATACTCGTGAATTCTGGTCAAAACTATGTTTACACATCGTATGATAGATTGGAGAAGCGGAGCGTACAGTGCAAAGTACAGTATAGATTTCTAAGTTTCAGTTTGTTACCGAAGATGCTGGAGAGGCAAGCTGCCAAGCAGACAAGCAAAAGTCCATCTTTAGAAACTCTTAATTATTGCGCGATAGATGCAAAAGGAGAATACCCATATAAATGCTCACGCGGGCACATGTTAGCAACAGATAATGTTTTGAAGATGTGGGGAAAGATTCATTTTTTTTTTGCGAAAAGGTCTAGAAAGGAGGCGATTTATTTTTCTTCATTTTTTTTATATCGAGTAGTCTGGATACGTTGCAGAAGATGCAGTGCACAGTCTCGAATCTTTGAAGGGTGCTCGATTTTTGAAATGCGTGTCTTGCATTGCATGTTGCATATTGCTACCTACCACGCATGCTGATTGTACGTGGTATGTAACTAAAATGGCACATACTGTACCTCTGAAAAAAATATTTTGATCGTCTATTCGTATGTGAGTTGAAGTGGATGTGTCTTAGAAGTTAGATTTTGGGTAGGAAAATAAGGTGGTAGTCAGGTACCAAGATGAATGAGAAGTACAAGAAGCCCTGTAAAGTCTGTGAGGCCCAGGGTGCAGAAGTCTGTGCAGCTGTGAAAGAGACAAACATGAAGCTAGAAATTGACATCGTGACCTTTTCCACGACGGATAAGAAGTTTTTGGTTGGGGGGTCGCCGGTGATGAGACTCGAAAGGGGTTCATAAACCGATTAATATTGTTCTAGAAGGGTGGTCTTGTGGGGTGAAAGTAAGTAGATGGATACTTAAATGCTTATCCGCGGACTCAGTCCCATGCTTCTTAGCTGGAATTGCCTATTAAGGTGTAAACAGATGAGCGTGCAGTGCCATGCACGACTGCACGGTCTTTGGTTCCAATACTTGTATCGTATCGGTACTCCGGCATTCGATTTTGGATTTGATTGATGTGTTTCTGTTTCTGTTGGCGTTTCTCCAGGAATAGAACTAAAAGGTTAAAAAAGTCTAATTGTGGAAAAGGACGTTAAGTCATATTAGGAAATCCCGTCGGATGTCCCAATTCAATTTCTTACCCCCAAACTACTTGGAGCCTGGAGAGGGGGCTGGACTGGTCAGTGTTCAGGTAGGAAATTGGAAACTAGACAGGCGGGGCGGAATGAGTCTCGGAGTAGAGATGGTTTGTAATGTTTGGACATTGATATATGGGCGAGGCTGTGGTCGAATACCTTTGTTGTCTCGGTTCTAGCCTCTGGTGGGTTTCAACAATATTGTCAGTCAGATAGATCGTCTTTGACTCTTTTCTGTTTTTGCAACTATTGTAGTTTGAAGTTCCATCTTGGGACCTCGGAATTGGATTAACAGAATAGACGCGAGGAGCTGGACTGTGCTGGGTGGACAATACTTTTTTGAGCACGAGAGCGGGTTGGGTTTTTTTTTGGAGACTGGAGTAATGGGGTGGAAAAAAGGGGTAGTCCTTGAGTCGTGCATCGTGATATTTTTAAAATTGAAAAAAGTTCCGTAGAAAAAGAGAGATTGATCACAGTCAATTTTGTGGGGGGAAGAGGGGATACCGTTGTGTGAATAGAAAATGGGATTTTTGGCAACAGAATTAAGAATGCCGAGATAAATGTGTTGTCAGTGAGTACGTACCCAAGCAAGTGTCGTGATATTCTTGTTGAGTAGATCTTTTTCATCATTATGAATTCATCGATGACATAAAATGAATACATCTCATTCCAAGTTAATTGTAAGATGATAAATGATGATATATGATGATATCCGAGCTCGATGAAATAAGAAACTGATGTCAAACCAACTCATGACTTTGGAAAACAATGGGGGCATGATGTTATGTATACATGCGATCGAGATATGAGATTTCTCATTTCTCGATGATTGAAAGATGGTCAATTGAAATTTCATCATAACCTAAGAAACGTGATATCATTTCCAAGGCAGAAAGATAAGACCTGGTTGAGCCGTTTCTAACAATGTTTCGATTCGTTTATGTTGACGTTACCAAGTCTGTAAGGACAGAAGATTTGCAGATTTGCAGTCGAATCCCCCACCGTCGCGCCTCAAGTAAACACAGCCACATGTAATATTGTGGATCGTGATTAGATATTCGTCTGGGAGAGACCTGTCAAGGCGATACCGGTAAAGCATCAGCATCAATCAGCATGAGCTTTTTAGCATTAGCATTAGCATTAGCATTAGCATCAACATCAGCAAATCGATGAGATCTCAACGAGCTAAAACCACTTCCTCGTAAAAACAAGTGGAGGAGCATATGGATGTTGGAGCCCAAAGAATGCAAAGCGAAAACTCCATGTGCACGATGTAACTAACTACTGTAGGTACTAACTCTAGTATACTTGTACACTGTACACTGTACACTCTGCACTGCACGCTGCACACTGCACACTGCACACTACCGACCACCACACTATACTCCGTACATGCAAATGCAAACATGGATTCCACGGAAGTACCTAAGTAGAAAGAGCACAGTACGACAGACTGAGCACAGATCTCTTTCCTATTCAAAGGGCGGACTTGAAGGGTGACTCTAGCCTCTTGATAAACTTTCTACCTAGGTCTTTTCAACACATTCTACTCGAGGAAAGTGCATGGATATTTCTATAGGGTGACGAACCACTGGGCGGCATAATTCCAATCATTCAGCTTCATAGGACGGAAATAATTCTTCCGTTTTCATAGAACACGCCTCGAACATATGGGTAAAAAGGCCAGCCAGTTCAATGAATCAGTCAGCGAGCCAGACAGCTTTTGATGTACATGACCATTTTACAGTTTCATGTTGCTATCTGGAAGAAATCTAATACAGAGTCGAGAAAGTGGGCTGAGGAAGAATAGAGAGCGAAGTGGAAAATAACGATCTTACGGAAAGATAGTCCCGGTTAGTGGCATCAAGAAAGTAAGAACTTAATAGAGCCTCTAGGTGCCCAATTAGCACTTAGATGGTTGACTTCATAACTTAGTCATTTTATTAGTTGTGACTATTTGAGGGCTAGTATCAATCTAGTATCTATTTAGTAGTAACGAGATCTTTTTCTACCTTTATAAGTCAAGCAATCGGCTTGGTAGCTTCATTTTCCCACACTCACAGTGTCCGATTCCCATACATTTTCCCCTTCATAATTCCCCACTGTTACCGGAACTGCCTCCCATGAATTTCGGTTGATCATCTGTCCCGTCACATGTCGCCCTGGAAAATGGATCGTGTTCTGCGTGTTCTGCGGTGTTCTGTGCAGAGGGTTTACATGGTTCTTGTGGAGTGTCTAACATGGATTCTAGCTCTTTCCCCTCTAGTTGAAGGAAATTGATACCGGATTGGGACTAAAAAGTTAAAAAGATTCGATACTTTTCTTAACAGATTTAACTTAGTCTTTTGGCGTCTCTCCAATGTCTCCATTCCAGTCAATCTACCAATCTACCGCAGTTTGCCAACCTATGCCAATGCTAATGCTATGCCTAGGAAACGCTAATTGCTACTCTCTACCACTTGGCTGCGCGGGATCGATTTTTCCCATCTTTATCCGTGCATTTAAATTCGTACCAAAATAATTAAAAAAGATGACCCAGGTCCCAAGTGACCTAGAAAGAGGGGCCCCCGCTTCATCTGGTACACCAAGGAAGAACGGAACTTCCGACGAGGCGCCATCGACAATCGAAATTTTATACTAAGGATCTTTTACTGGAGTAAAAGAGAACGAAACTAATTACTTGGAACTGGAATATCCAGTGTCCACCTTTAGTAACTTGGTACGAGAATGCGAGTAACGGTGAGATATTCCTAAAACGTGTTGGTTCAACTTGGTAGATCTTTTTCCCGGAACACCCCTTCTACCTTTCCTCCATCTAGTCCCTCCACATCCGGTCTACCTCCATCAAATCCTTAGCATGCCATACTAGCGAGTTCTCCCCTCGCGCTTACTCCGTACTCTTCCTTCCCGCAGGACCGTAACAAAGCCTCCTTCATTCCCCACCTCCACTACTCCCCCAAACTATTATAACTCCAACATATCCCCCCTCGATTCCATCCTCCTCATACAAACCAACAAACACTTCTTCTTAAGAATCATTTCTTCGCGCTTCAGTTTAATAGTACTCCCGCATCAAGCCTTGCTTTTTACTATACCCGTTGTCTTATTTTTATATCGCTTCACATACAAACACATTCCCATCATGATGATGCATCCAACACCACCGCCCTCGATATCACACAGTGATATGGATAGTTACAAATACAGAAGAGACGCAGAATTCAGAAACATTGAGGCCTCAAGAGCAGAGGATGCCGAATATGTCGAGCACATCGAACAAACCAAAACACATTTGCCAGAAGACTTAACTCAAACCGAGGAGGAAGAACAGAAACATTGGTTCATTGGTAGCATTGATCAAGGCACAACTTCTACAAGATTCATTATCTTCAATGGAGAAGGGCAACCAGTTGCTATGCACCAGCATGAATTCGAAAACATGTACCCCGAGTCCGGGTAAGTTCTATTGCTCTGCCCTTTCTATCGATTCCACAAGCTAACAATACTCTTTTCGCAGATGGCATGAACATGATCCTCAAGAATTGGTCAACTCTGTGGATGAGTGTGTAGAGAAAGCAACAGAGAAATTCCTTGAATTAGGATACAAGAAGTCCGACATCAAAGCTATTGGAATCACCAACCAACGTGAAACAACTATCTGCTGGGACACAAACACTGGAGAACCATTATACAATGCCGTTGTTTGGCCTGACACCCGAACCACCGCTCTTGTGCGCGAGCTCAAGGAGTCGGAAGGAGCAGATGAGATCCTTCAATTGTGTGGTCTGCCACTTTCTACCTACCCTTCCAGCGTTAAGCTTATGTGGATGTACCGAAACGTTGAAGCTATCAAGAACGCATACGATGAGGGCAGATTGTCTTTTGGAACAGTCGACTCTTGGTTGATCTACAAACTCAATGGAGGAAAGGAAGGCGGTGTTCATGTCACAGATACCACAAATGCTTCTAGAACTATGTTCATGAACCTACACACATTACAATACGATGACAAGCTCCTCAACTTCTTCCAACTCGACAGAAAAAACGTTACCCTTCCAAAAATCGTTCCTTCCTCAGACAAGGAAGCTTTCGGTAAGATGGCCTACGGTGCTCTTGAAGGCACCAGAATCACTGGCTGTCTCGGAGATCAATCATCCGCTTTGGTCGGTCAATGCGGCTTCAAGCCTGGTCATGCAAAGAACACATACGGAACTGGTTGTTTCCTTCTCTACAACGTTGGTGACAAGCCCGTAGTATCAAAATATGGTCTTTTGGCTACCGTCGCATACGATTTTGGCAATGGCCGAAAACCCGTTTACGCTCTTGAGGGTAGCATTGCCGTTGCAGGTTCCGGTGTCAAGTTCTTGATGAACAACTTGGGTTTCATTGCACACTCAAGCAAGATCACTGAATTGGCAGAGACTGTTGACGACAACGGAGGTGTAGTATTCGTTACTGCTTTCTCTGGTTTATTCGCTCCATACTGGATTGATGATGCCAAGGGAACACTCTTCGGTATTACTCAACACACACAACGTGGTCACATCGCTCGTGCTACCCTTGAAGCTACCTGTTTCCAAACCAAGGCCATCCTTGATGCTATGGAGAAAGATTCCGGACACAAGTTGGAAGGACTTGCCGTCGATGGTGGCATGTCCAACTCTGACCTTTGCATGCAAACACAAGCCGATGTTCTCAACATCCCAATCAACAGACCAGTTATGCGCGAAACCACAGCTCTCGGAGCCGCAATCGCAGCGGGCTTCGCAGTTGGTATCTGGAAGGAGTTTGATGAGCTCAAGGAGATCAATCGTGACGACAGAACTATCTTCGAACCAAAAATCAAGCCAGCAAAGGCTGCCCGTATGTTCAAGAAATGGGGACAAGCAGTTGAGATGAGCAGGGGATGGGTCCTACAAAACGAGGATGAGAACGATGATGACGTTGACTAAATAGCCAATTAAATGAGGCTAGTGAATGGGGATGGGGTTGGGGGTGAGATGGAGATAATGGATAATTCAACTTACGAAGCTGGTAAATATGGGGCGATGAAGATAAAAAGATTTGTGGATATACCCCAGGATGATTGATTGCTTGCATAGATGCACAGAATGTTGGGATTTGGGATTTGGGATTGGGTGTTTTGGCGCGCGGTTGGAAACCCTTCTTGGTGGTATAAATTTTAGGCATCTTTTCTAGCGATGGATGGATGGGTTGTTTGTAGCATTAGCATATATATGATGACTTGAGCTTGAAGCTTGGTCGATTCTGGATGGGATATAGGAAGAGAAATAATGGGGAGGTTTAACGATTTTTACGACTATTCAAAATAAAAATAAAATATAAAAATTCCTAAATAGACTCTTGGTTGATTTGTTATGTTGTGATTGTGAAGTTGAATGTGCCATTTCGACCTTAGAATGCGAAGCTACCACATGAATCTTGCTTTTATGGCGAGTGCGCGAGAAGACAAAAATTGATGAAAGAGAAGGGAATCATTCTTGGGATGTGCCTACGTGTTGTTATACATTCTTATATATGAACGTTATTTCTTCGTGGAAGCAGATGATGGTCTGTTTCCAACTTCTCATATACGAGGGAATAATAGGTAGGACCTAGGGAATCATAAAAAGGCTGAGTATATTTAATCTATACATGATTGGTGAGTTGAGGCATTGTAGGATTATGAAAGTGAAGCGAGGGAGGGGAAAGATCTGGCGCATGGGGGTCGAGAGAGAATTTGGGTATGTGGCTATTTATTCATTTGTTATTTCATCTATTGAGAGGTTCTCGGTAGAGTGAGTTTTCTATCTACTATCTACCTAGAATAATTATCTCTCTCTCTCTCTCTCTCTCTCTCTCTCTCTCTCAAACATCGCATTTGTGCATTTAGTGCAGAGTCAGTCATCCTCATCCTCATCCTCATCCTCGCTTATCTAGGTATTATACATTCTTCTTTCCCCTTCCCGTGACAATCTTCCATTTTCCTCAAATCAGGAGGACCCTTATCTAGCTCCAACCACCTCTCTTAACTCAACCCCACAACGGCGCCGTAACCTCCACGGCCCTCTCTACCACAGCTCTCACTCTTTCCCCAAAAACCCGATTCGCGCACTCGACATCCAAATCCTCCAACCATACCTTCGCAACCATCTTATCGACCTTGATCTCGATGCCCGGAACGGGGATACCGAGTTTATGGAGACGAGCGAGTTCTTTTTCTTGGGCGTAGGTTTCTGAGGTTTCGGGAGTTTCGAGGTCTGAGGGGGAAGAGGGTTTGGTGTCGGGGGGTATGGAGGGGGAAGAAGTTGGAGATGGGATTCCGGTGGATAGACGGGGAGTGGTAATGGGGACGAGATTGTCGGCGCCGAATTGGGCTTCGAGGAACATGAAGAGGCGTTCGAGACGCTCGGCGGGGGTCAGGTGCGCGTGCAGGTTGCGGGCTGGAGGGGAGTGGGAGTGGGGAGATTTGCTCGCGGATTCTAGGGGATGTTAGTTTTGAGAATGGGTAAGTGGTGCAATGAGATCAATGGGGAGAGAAAAGGGGGTAGAGGATAGAGTTGGAGAACATACGTTTAACAGCAGCTGGACTACTTTCCACCGAATACAACACCGCCATGATGGCATCCGCAATCCCATCATTCAACATGTTGCCCTCCCATTCTAATTCTACTTCCCCATTACTTCTATACCTCACTGTAACACAGCCCATAACTAAATATGCAGTGACTGCATTCGTATTTGCAATCTCCTCGTCGGCTTCTTCGTCGGATGATCCATTCATATGCGTATCCCCATTTCCATTTCCATTTCCATTTGAATGTTTCTGTTGTCCTCTACTTTCAGGCAATTCATCAATCTTTCCAAATGTTCCCTCTAGAGCCCAGCGAATAAGATCAATACCCGCCGCACTGAGTGTCATGCGTTGTTTACATGTAATAGTAGTAGTAGTTAATCCAGCGTATTCTCTCAAATCTTCAGGAGCCATCAACGACATTTTGAAATCGTTTTGAACCAGTACACCAGTGATAAGTTGGGCGGAATCAGGAGGTGGGGGATTGTTGGCGAGTTTTCCGACGACCTTGGCGGTTTTCGAAGTCACAAAAGGAATGCGTAATGGTTCGCAATTCTTGGGGGAGAAAACTTTCACTTTGGTAGTTTTGTCGGCGTTGAGGGAGAGAAGTTTGGATTTTAGACGCATCATGTTGTGTTGTTCGCCGTGGACGAGAATCTATGCTTGTTAAGTCTTTTTTCATTTGAATTAAATCTGGAAGGAACTTACCACGACAGGAGCAGCGATTTCCTCGATGAATTCCCGGTTCTCGACGCCATCAACGTGCGCTGCAAAGGAGTATTCTTGAACACTACATCTTCTAGGTATCATAGCTTTCTCTGTTTCTCCAGGTGCTGATCTTCGTGTAAAACCCTGTGGACCAGACATGATTGCTTGGATGTGATCTGGTTCTTGCATGATTTGCTTTGCCATAGTACCTTCAACACTGTAACCAGTAATAATAACACCGTTTTTATCACTTGGTGCCCACCGTTCTAGTAATTGTCTACTAATACCATTCTGTAGCATACCGGGACTTGCTAAAATAACACAACCCCCAACATCGTCAAAGCGATCGAGATTCTTTAATGAACGAATATATTTGAAATCCCATGGTCCTCCTCTACCTCCACTAGTTGAGTTGGCTTCGGCTTCGGCCATACGTTCTCTGAAGAGTCGTTTGATATTTTCGTTCATAGAGCCAACGTATGTTTGGTATACTAACATACATTTACGAGCCAGGTTACTAGCATAGTAGATAGGGATCTTTTGGAATTCTGGATGTTTACCCCAGTATTCATCCAGAATCAGGAGTAGTTCTTGAGCTCTACCAAGTGCAAAAACCGGCATGAGAACCCGCCCCCCACGATTCAAGATACTAGTGACAGACTTCATAAGGGCCTGCTCTCGTTCTAATCGGGGAATATGTGATGCAATACCATACGTAGATTCGGTAATTAGAACATCAATCTTCACTCCTTTGGGAACCTCGGCAGAGACAAGATGTCTATCGTCTTCTCGAGAATAATCTCCCGTGAAAAATATCTTGAGTCCTGCGATCTCAATAAGGAACATAGCAGCACCAAGTACATGCCCTGCTGGATATGGTGTGACCCTGATCGAAGAGATTGTATGTGTGGTATGATAATCTATAGCTTCGATTTGAGCAAATGTAGTGAGATGGTCGGCTTCAGTGTAGACTGGTTGTGAACCTCCACCCGAGGATGCTCCTCCAACCCTTACGCTGTCTATGATGAGCCATTTGTAGATGGCCTTGGTTGGATGTGTCATGAAGACACGTCCTTTGAAATTGGTCTTCGCAAGGACATATGGCAATGAAGCTGCGTGGTCGACGTGAAAACTACAAATGGTCAGCTCGTATACTACTTGGCAAGGCACCAGAATACGCCAACAGAAGTAGTAGCCTATGTACAATTTGAGTCCGCAGCGATGGAGGTTATATCACAGAATCAAGACAAGCATTTGCTGTGGGATAATGATATTGTATTGATTCTCGTATACATGATAAATATGGTAGGTAGATAGGCCAAAAAAATGAAACGGAATTCTGCATGTAAAGATGCATGATCCAAAATTCGACGCAGAGTCCAAGCTGCCAAAGGCGCATTGTATTAAAACACCGAAACAGAACACCATATACTGACTGCCACATCCTTCAAAAGCCAACGCGCGTATGTAAAATGTAGGAAATAGAATGCGCTTACTGGCTGATTAAAAGTAAATCGACAGTACTCAAATCAAAATCGTCATAGAAAGGTAGAGCTGCTAATCCGTCGTAACCAGCATGCATACCAGCATCAAGCTATATCGAAAAGTCAGTAAAAAGATGGCGCAGATGATGGAGAAAGAGGGCTTAGACTTGCCATGACAGTTTTGCCCTTGTATTGAATTATATGACAAGATCTTCCGACCTCATTACCACCACCAAGATTCGTAAAGGTGAGTTCGTCAGCGGGATCTACTGGTTCTTCCACCGTAGGTGCCATAGCTGCAGCCTTACGTTTTGATGCCATCGTGAATGGAATGTGGTGTGTATTGCTTTCTTTGTCAGTCAGTTTAGTGTTAGTACTACCACTTTGCTGCCTTCAAGGCGGATAGATATTTGTTCAGCAAAGATATTGCAATCAATCAAATTACGACGGAAATGATTGTAGATGGGCTTATAGATTCATAATAGGTAAGTCGGGAAGGATCTGAATTGAATCGTGTGGTCAATCAATACAATATTGTAAGAGGGAAGGGAGGTTCGTCATCAAAGAGACGCGATTTTGGCGTTCCTTGTGGAGGGAAATTTCGCACTAAATCCACACGTGATGAGATCAAAACCAGATAGCTTTCGCGATTCATTCAATGACCACAGTATTAACGCGGGAATGAAAACAGCTTAAACGGTCATCAAAACAACGAGTGAATACGGTCGCGCAAGTCTTTAAGTTGTATTCTGAAGATTTAGACTAGCGCATGGGTCGGTGTTATAAGAGGTAGCCGGGCTTTGCGCCTGGGTTGTGAAGGATACAGGAGATCAATAGAGGCAATTACAACCAAGCCGTCGACATCATGGCGCAACCACAGCAACAGCAACCACCGTATCCTATGCCTCAGAGGCCCTTTTCTCCCCCGCAGCCAGCTAATTCACCTTCAACGCAAACCCAACAACAGTTCGCGTTTCCACCCCACAAGCGACAAAGAATGTCTCCCAATCCGCCCTCTCAACCAGGTTCGCCATATGTCACATCACCATATGCTGCTTCGGGTCAGAATTCAGCTTCGCCTTCGCCGCATTTCTCGACTGTGCAAATTCCTCAGGGTGCCTATACCACGCCATATTCGAATGGATCGAATGCGCAACCATCTCCCTCATTGAATCTACCGCAAACTCCGATGGCTCTTCCACCTCATGCGCAACCAAGCCCATTGAGCTTCCCAAATCAAGTTCAGCATCATCATCAAGGAAATATGGCGTCAGCTCATTTCAACAACTTTAATTTGCAGATGCCACAACAGCACCATCCTGGCGGAGTCATGGGCCCACCTTCGAGACCGGTCGATAAAAATAAGGTTGATGGTTTGGATCCGTTGGATGTTTTGGGGGGAACTGGTGTCGATCTTGCAGAGGAGGAACAATATACATTTCAGCAGTATTCGTCGTCGTTCAATGCTCAAGGCTCAAGGTCACACCCAGGAAATATTTCGGCAGGTCACAGTTTTACCCAATTTCCACCAGGGAATGAGGGATCTTTTTACGGCTCAGGTCCGGCTAATCAACCTGGAGAGGCACCAAATGCTAAATCACAAGAGGATTTTGAGAAGAAAGCTGCGGATAAAGCATGGCATGATGCGGCTCGCGACTTGGCAGTATCGAGGCAAAGAGAATTAAATAATCCATTTTTAAATGTTGGCCACGTTCACAAGAGAATGGAGAAGATTGCACATGATAATGGTCTCGGTTTGAATACAGATTTAAATGGAAAGATGGGAACTATGAAACTACCTGAACATTTCCCTGACACGACTGTCAAAGTACAAACTGCAGTGGGACCAGATGGAGCTATCACTGCAACGACAGGAGCCTTCATTCCATCTGATTCTTTACTTGTTGATCAACTTGCGCTTATGTCTATCTCTACCAAGCATCGACTTCGTGGATTGTTAGAGGACGGATTAAAGTTAGCTATCGGTCGACAGACAAGTTCTCATGCCCAAATCAGGGATGAATGGACAGATGTTGCTGTCCCAGCGATAAAACCTAGTGTTGCTACCATTGTTACTGAAGGTGGTCCACGGAGTGGATGGGAGAGTGCTGTCAGCCCTCTCTCCAACCCTCTCAAACGTATGTATCATATTTTTCATTATTCTAATTCTGAGCTAACACACCGAAGGCCCTCTCTCAGCTGCAGGTAGATTGCCTACTCCAGTATCAGATAGTGCAAAGGCACAAACTAAGTCTTTTGCGAATGATGTTGCATTGACACTTCGGAAATGTGCTACTAAGGAGCAAGAAGCCGAGGAGGCGAGACTACGAAGACGTAAGGCTCGTGAGTCTGGTGATGGATCTCGCGCTGGTTCAATAAATCCGGGCACGCCAGGTTCTATGGCTCCAGATGTTCTTGACAAGCCACCTACCAAGAAAGAAATGAAGAAGAAAGCAGAGGCAAAAACCAGTGAGGCAGCAAGTCACGCAGCAGCCAATGTAACCACTACACAATTTTTGGGTGGTGGAAAAAGTATGTTCGGAAAAAAGAAACAATATAGTTGGATGACTGCCGGAGGATCCGGTAGTGGTACCAGCACGCCAGGTAAAATCATGACCCAAGGTCTTGGCTCTTCTGGTGCAAGCCCCGTTGCGAATCCGGGACCCGAAAAAATGACTACCGATGGAGTGCGAAGGTTGGGCACTTGGCGAGAAGATGGTGGTAAGGGACAGAATATCCAGCTCCGAGATTGGATCATGGTTCTCGAGGATGATGGTAGGGAGAAAAAGGCACTACAAAAGGCATACGCTCAAGTGGATGATGATCGGAATGCGTAAGTGAGAAAGGGGGAGAGAGAGAGAAAGAAATACGGGTTTCATGGTTAGGGCAATTGCAGAATAATATTTTTGCATGGCGTTGCATGGATCACCAGGCGTTTTTTTGTTTTTTTTTGCAGTGTCTCCTCAAAAGGGAGGATGGGCACGCTTCTTCAATCTCATTGGGGAATTCTCTGAAATGATTTACATACCTACTATATGGTTGTGTGGGGGCGAGAGACTTTGCATATTTCGTCTGACCATTGGGTTTGATTTGTGAACCGAGACCGTTTCGATGCAAGATATTATTTACATATCTTTTGATGCAATGCAATGCAGTGCGATGCGATGCGATGCGATAGGCAATTAGGTAGCAATAAGTCATATACCAAACCAAGTATTCTAGTATCTAGTATGTATCATTATGTTATTTTTTCTTCTTCTTTTTCTCTTGGGTGGATGGATGGAATGATGGAATGATGGTAATAGTGATTGATGACAGCACTATCTGATAAATCCCTCATGATCAATTTACAGGCGTAGCTGGAGGTATCTAATATGTATCGAAGTATATCTAAAGTGTCTGGATAGGTAGCTCTAGATGAATATGAATAAATACTTTGTAGTTGATTAGGGGGTAGGTAGGTAGGTGGTAGGTGGTAGGTAGGTGGTAGGTGATAGGTAGATGGTAGGTGGTTAACTTCTCTACTCCATCTACTCTATTCTACTCTTCCTTACCCCACAGTCTAGGCTGTGCTGTGCTGTGCTGTGCTATGCTGTGCTGCGCGGTGTGCAGAAATAAATATATCAAATGTATCAAATATAACAAATAAAGCAAGACAAGAGGAAGTAAGATCTTACATAATAATGAAGCCCCCACCCACCCACTACCTAATAAAAGATTATATTTCGAAGGAAATAGGTAGGTAGGTAGGTAGCTCGAGTGTAGGTAGCTCGAGTGTAGGTAGCTCGAGTATAGATAGTTGGAATTAGGAATTGGATGTTTCCCCGCGATATGGTAGATGATAGAGTCGGAATTGGAATTGTGATGGGTGGGTGTTGAGATTATATAGGTGGGTAGCTGGAGGTGGGTAGTAGGTAAATAGTAAATAGTAGATAGATAGTAGGTAGGTAGTTTCGTTTGGGGTTCATAGCCGCGGGCTGCGGGCTGCGGGGAAGAGTTGTGCCGGGCTGGTTGGGGTTCGGGTGTTGGAGGAGAGAGAGTGTGTTTTGGTGTTTGTTTTGGTATTTGTCTGGTTGTTTCCTGGAGGTGGAGGGGATGTGGAGAGGAGGTGATGTAATATGATGTGATGAGGGAGGGACTGGGCGATTTATAAGTGACTGGGTGACTAATTGAACTTACTTGGAGATTTTGCTTTTACTTCTGCTTTTACTTCTGCTTTTGCTTTTGCTTGGGAGCTTATTAGGAGGGGTTGAGGATACTAGTAGGTAGGTAGTGGATTGCCTTTTTGGGACGATGGATGGATAGGCGGATGGGCTAGCAGTGGGGGATTTTAGCAGTGGGTGATTTTAGCAGTCGGGGATTTTCGTAGTAATAAGTATGGTGGTGCAGAGTAGTAGGTGGTTTGGGATGGGTAGCTAGCGATGGAAATGGATGATGGGTAGATACTTGGTAGATGGATGGATGAATAAATGAGATCATGGTTATTATATTGTCTAGTGAGAAGTGATAAGTAATGAGATGGAGGTAGAAGTAGAAATAGCGGCGTGATAATAATCATTATGGATTTTTAACATGTGTGATTACCTACCTACCTACCTACCTAGGTAGATATTTGAGAGATCCGTTTTCATTTAATAAAGTTGTAGATTAATGCACTTTCCCAATCGCATCTGTGGATACATACCTGCCTATTTCTTGCATTGCATTTCTTGTCTTGGATGGGATTGATAGTGATATTGATATTGATATTGATATATGTAGGTATCTTTTGAATGTTGTAGAAAAGAGAGAGGATAGAAATGCGTGTATGTATGAATATACTTTTATTAGATATACTTTTAATCGGGGGTTCATATTTATTCACCCCCTTATCTACAATAAGGGGACCTTAGCAATTCGTCAATTTTTCAGCAATTTATAATTTTTTTATCGAATCTCATAATATAAATAATAATAAGAAAATAATAATATTATCAAATTTTGATATATAATATTAATTACTATAACTATAGCAAAACATAATCCTGAAATAAAAAAGAGATTTGCAAAAGCAATTTTTTATATAAAATAATTTCCGAAATCAATATTCACAAAAGTAATCCGGAATTTTACTATTTTCCTTTATCTTCTATATATATATTTCAACAAAACCTTTATTACAAATACTAAAAGAGATTATAATAAAGTATTAAGTAATATTCAAAATAAAGCTCTTAAGTTATATATTGACTTTTTGATATATATAAATTATATTACTAGAAAAAGTATTATTAAAATAGTAATTAATAATATACTAAAAAACAATAAGAGTATCTATTAGCTTGATATATAATAGGCTATTTATTGAATGAAAAGGAATAAGGATTGGTATAAAGCTTGTAAAAGTAAAACTTTATGTTAAAGTAGATAATAGCAATAAATCAATTAGGCGTAATATAGCACAAAGATTTTTCATTAATCCTTCTAAACTATAAAAATCCTACAATTTATAATTATATACGGGTTAGTATCAGCCTGAAATAACTTTGTAGAGGCTATTTATATACTCTCGCTAACTTTTATATGGATTAATTATAATAAAGCCCCCTATATTACACATTACATCCCAAAACATATATATTTATCTTCTGAACTCGATTTGTATAATACAAGAAAATGGGATACCAAATAATTACATTTATATTATATACTAAAAGGAAATAAGAATACTATAAAACTATAAACAATTAATAAACAATATTTCAATGTATTTATTGTTTTTACTAATAGATTATTAAAGGTTCTATAAGTTCCCTTTAATTTCCTGAGTTCGTTTCTTCTTCTAGTAAATTATTCTTTATTATCTTTTCATTAATTCTTATCTTATCATAACTACCCCTTAACCTATTAATCTCTAAGCAATTATAACTTAATCTACAATAGATCCTACTAGTTTGATTATCCCTATATATCTTTATTATTTCAAGTATATTATATTTTTTGCTCCTAAAGATTTTTATTATTATAATAAGAATCCTTACATTAAATATAGCTATTATTATATCCAGAAAAAGGTTTATCAATCAATACCTTTCCAATATATTCCCGATATTAATTTATTATATCAAATCTAAGCTTTTTAATAAACTATTTCTATTAATAATCAAGAAAAAGAGAATACTAAGACTGTAATAATATATCGAAATAAGTATTATATTAAGAGTATAAAAACCTTTTTACAAAAAAAGGATAAACAGAGTAATACTAAAAAGCCAAAATTATTTAAAATATTATCTCTACTTACTATAAAGAAATTGAATTAAATAAATAATCTTATAAAGTATTTTATAAACTTTTATTAAACTATTATTGATTATTCTTTATCTCCCTATAATAATACTTAACTGACTTTTTAGATTCTAGAATAATTTGCTTGTACTAAATACCACTATTTCAGGTTTTATTATAAAATTAATAGTTATAATAGATTCGGATAATAAGAATAACTTTATAGCTCTAATTGTTTACCCCCATGTAGTCAATACCTCTATCCTGCCCCCTACTCCTTTAGAAGGTAAGACTTCAGGTACTGTAAATATACTAACTGATTTGAAGGACTATATCCCCCCTTATACCGATATTCAATTATTATTTCGCTTCTATTTCCATACTTATTTCTCTATACTCAAAAAAAATTGTTTTAAATATTCTAATAAATCTTTTTCTAATTTTAATAGTAATAAAAAGAATAATCCTTTTTTTTATTAAATTATTAATGCTTTTTAATATTCTGATATTCTCTATATTTCTAAAGATGATATTAGTATTACTATTTCTTAAGCAAAGAAATATACTACTAGAGATTTGACAGCTTCTGCCTATTAATTCATTATTAGAAGTTTAATTACTTAAGCCATTCTTTTTTCTTATAAAACTTTCTATATAATTTCAAAACAAAAAACAATATTAGTTATTATTAATTCCTTTTTTAATTTTTGATATCAAAATACTAATATTTTGCTAAAAACTAAAACTCTTTATATAAGTCATTCTGTTTATATTAAAAAGTCTGATATTATTATAAATTCTTCTGAAAATATTCAATCTTGTAAATGCCTATAGATTATCAATAATCTATTAATAAAGGTTCGAAAGTCCAGTGAGACCCTTGTAAAAATGGAGGGGAAGGAAAGTGTGGATAAGGATAAAGTGAATATACTTTTAGTAAATAAGGGTAAGCAAAGTAATAGTGATATAGATAATACTATCTTTGAGGTTTTTCTTTTTATATTAAATCTTCTTGATATGTAGAATAAAAGAATTAATTCTTGTTATAAAACCCTTTCAATATATTAATATAATAATATCTTTATAATAATATCCTTATATTAATCAAAAATGTATTTTTGCTAGGAATAAGGTTTTATAAAAGAAATAATAACAATTTTATTAGTTAAATACTAACAAAGATTCAGATAATATTAATTCTGATATTTATAAATTGAAATCTAAAGTATTCCAAAAATATCAGAATAAATTGATACACTTGGTAATAATATATAGTATATCAGTGAGTGAAAGGTTGCATTCTCGTTTTTATTAGAATAAAAAGGAGTAAAAAGAGGAATATTACAAACAACTTTGTATTACTAATGATTCATTTATAGGTACATAATAGAACCCTATTGTTTTGTAGTTTTTTTCCTTTTTTCTTTTAAATTATATATTAATAATTCTTTTCTTTTATTGTATTTTTCTAATATTTCTTTTATATTATCGAGATTACAAAGAGCTTTCCATATATCTTTTACTGATTAATAGTCTTTTCATTAAACTAGATATTAAATACTTCTGTTTT